GATGCATTGCATGAGGTTTCTCGCTTGTTCCAACTTACGACGAGCGATAGACGAATACTAAAGCTGGGCGTGGCAAACGGAGAAGAGACTCGAAAGCGTCTCATACTTTAGCAGCATAGTGGCCTCTTAGTGGCTTCAGGCACTGTGCACTTATCGCGGTGTCATGTCCATTGCATTGGCCCACCATTCAGACCGTACTCTATCGACCCGTCCTCGCCTTCGGTCTCGCGTATCTCCAACTCTTTGAAACAATGCAGCACTACAGCTGCACGACCTCGCGGAAACGACTCGGTTGCTACCTGCTCCACTGTGAGACCATTATACGTACTACGCTTGGTGTGTTTCTTCCTAAAGCAAGGGTTATGTTGATGTATTGACCGGCGACGGAAGACGGCCGATGTCTGGCTTTTGCTTGCATCTGTCCGTGCGCGACAACGTTTGTCATAGGCGTCTGGAGCCAATTGTCTTCAGCATCGACACACTTGAGATTTCGTGCGGCTACTTAGCTCAGCAGCAAGCTGCGGCCAGAGTCTGGGCGACTCGATGCCCCACTCGCGCCATCTTGTAAGAATGAGCCATCTTTCTGCTCGGTGAACGTGCGGGACGACAAGTCCGGGTTTGATGCAGTTACCGTATCGGTCCCGAAGCGCTGGCTGTGTTCGCCCGGGTACATTCTGACAAATGTCGCTCCACGGCACTTGATCCCGATTGGACTCACTGCCTTTTGGCACGTATGCACGAAGTGCGAGCAGCAGCCGTCGATCCTCACTCAACTAAAACTTGTCTCACCGAAGACCTGGTGCGAGCGAGAGCTGCATTCGATGGCGGATCTGCCCCGACACACGGCCATCCATCAAATCTGCAACCACGTTCCCTTTTTCGCCAAAGACCGGGACAGCTTCACGCAGGATCTAATCTTCTCCTGGCGTAAAGGTTGGCCGCGTGTTTCCCGCGTTCAGCGCTGTCTGGTACCGAGCAAGACCATGAGCTGCTGGTCTTCCCGGCACGAACATGCGCTTTGTAATCTCGTGCCACTTCTTCACCAGTTTCGGGTCGTCTTGTCCCGTGGCCAACCGTCGAAGCGCTGTGTCTTCCTCGTTCGTCCACGCGCCAAGCCGAAACGTCGGCGAATCGTGCAAGTCATACCACAAGTTGCACGCAATACCCGAAAGTTCAAGTGGAAACTTGCTCGACTTGCGCGCCTCCTGCCACGCGCGAAGTGTGTTCCACGCTTGCAGAAGTATCTCCACGTTAGCGGCGTGTATCATGTAGAATTCTTTGGCAAAGGCCGCGACGACTTTACGCTCTAAACTCGTAAAATCGTTGGGGTCTCGGCTTCAAACGACTCGTGACTGTGAGCACGTAGAAACTCGGATGTCGTTGCCACTGCCGATGGTCAGATCTTGGCATCATACCATGCGATTGAATACCGTCTTTGAGACAGTAGAGATCCCAGCAGGCGTTGCCCGTTCAATACTGCCCTGGCCAAGATGGACTGATAAAATCTCGCGCATGAGTGCATTTACCGTTTGAGATCGGGATATATCGAGCAGCAGTAAGTGACAACGTGTTTAGCTTTTTCTGCACCATACATATGAAGTCCTTTTAATCATTTAGGAGGGCGGGTGTGCCCGTAGCAAAAGTGGGGTGTGCCCCTAGTCGTGGTCTTTTACTTTTTCTACGACTAGAATCTTTGCATCAGTCGTTTCTCTTTCCTTTGTATAGTGCATATACCTGACAGGGCACTGACCTACACTGTTGTCAATGGGAGTTGCTGGATGCAGCCCACCGTTGATCACCGTCCTACTTTTACAGTTTTTGATGCAAAAAAACTCTTCCCTCGTCCAGCCTTTCCTTCAGTGATTTTTTTCTTATCAGCCGCTCTCCATGTGCGTCGTAGTCCATTTAAATACGTGCTGATGAAGTCAAAGAACGGTTATGCTCGAGTTCATTATCAATAATCGCTTGACCTCGTCCAATACACCCCAATGCACATAAACTACATCATCGTCTCGACTGTTGCCCTGTGCGACGAAACGCGGTGAGTCGTCTAGCACCAGCACGATTAGTACATGGCAATATGTGGAGAAAAGGAGTACAAGTCCACATATGTGTGTCGAGCTCCCAAGCAACGTCGACATACGCCCGAGCAAATATACCTGCTGCATCCTTTGTGCGTTCTACACAGCCACTTGGTGGACGCGACATGCAGACGGCGCCATGGACGTGCGACAACATGATCGGCAGAATGCAAGCATCAGGTGCTGCTAGGTGTGGACAATATTGACCGGGTTGACCCTTGTAAGTTGCAGGATCAACATGCTGGCAAGCTTCGTTGCAGCCAGGCGAACGAGAATGAATGCGGCTACCATGCATTCCGTTGTATCGTGTTGTAGTAGAAGCAGGAGCAGAAGAGCAGTCTACGACTTCCCTGATGTAGTGACCAGAGAGCCCACGTGGAATAATATCGGTGTGAGAGAACAATTCTAGCAGAGCTGCATCAATGCAATCCAAGCACACGATCGAATAACAGTATAAGTGTATTCTCTTGCGCAATCGAGTCATCCGTGTGGTACAGAAGCGGTCGACATGTCGAGGGCAGTGTAAACCCATTCGAGTCGAAGGGATTCCAACAAGAATAACTAGTCGTATGATGAATACGTACCTTCCTTGAGCTCTATAGCTTTGGGGCTCTGCTTCGACAACGTTCAACAAATAGTCGGTAACAGGCACTTGTCAAGGAAAGCAATGGTCTCTCGTAAACATGAGCCACATTGCTTCTTTTGGTCAAATCTTATGAAAGCGGTACGGACGCACGCAATTGTAGCGGTCAATGGAAGCCCAAGGCGTTGGTACAAGCAGTAGTCAGTTGTTGCTGCTGACGACGACTGGGACGTAGGTTCGAGGGACACGATGACAAGTTTGTTGCGACACATGTCGAGGGAACAATCCCAGTGATGGTCGTGAACTGGATCCCGACTCTGTATGAATACGGTCCCGTCGCAGAAGGTGCAGGAAGACTGAATGCATCATCGCGCGACGTGACTCCTGTTTGCTGCTCAATGTATTCACTACAGAAAGTGATTGGAAATGACACTTGAGCTCTGTGCTTTATTATTCCTCATGCAACACATGCGATTAAATGACGATCGAAAGGCTACACTTTCGAGTATGCTAAATGCGAGCAAAAGCGTAGAAACCGTGCCCATCTAGTGCTCGTTCGAGCTGGAGCTGCTGCTAGCCTATGACCCCTAGCGGTCATTGAACGAGTCCGATGGATACCTAATTTGACACCTTAGCGGCGGTCAGAACATAATTCGCGAACAGCTCATTGGAGCGAGCTCTGTACACACGTGCATAAAAACACGACTGAAAGAGTCGTTGCAACGGGTAGTCGCCTCCCACGCTTGTCCACACATAGATGTGTGTTGGCGCGAACTGAGCAGGTACGTTGTCGTTGTCGACACGTTCTGCGTCAAGAGAGCCACGTCAAATCAATAATACATGCGTAGTACAAGTGTTACACATGCTTAAAAGGACATGCAGAAGACCAGGCAAGGCTTGCTTACGATTATTGAAACCGTTCCAACGCACATCGATGCGCTCGATCATTTTTCTCGGAACATTGTTCATCGATCAGCAGCTCCTACGCCTGTGTGCAGAGAAAAGGCAGAGACGTGAACCTGACCGACGATACGACGCTGGTAGAAGCGGAGTGAGTTCTCAGGTCTGCTAGTGGAACGCGTAGAGACCTAGCGGATGACGTCAAGATAGGACAAGGCGGCGACAGGCCTGACCAACTTGAGGTTCTTTGATCGAGGCCATTCATCGCTCATCATGACTGAGCTTGGCGCGCCTCCTGCGTCTGGTTGCAGTGAAAAGGAGCTGGCCGCGTTGAGAACGACCTCTCCTTGCGCTACGTGCCAGTTCTCAATAGCCGAGACACGGTAGGATATGCAACGAAGTCAGACAGCTCGGCACGGTCAGTAGACCAGACTGATCACGCTTCAGTTCCGACACTGCCTCGTTCGTGGACTGACTCCTCGCACACTCCCTCGGGGCACGGACGGAAGCGGCACTTGATCTCTCGCTGACAGCAAATGTGGTGAAAAGAGCACGGAAAAAGTCGACGATAGTCGTATCACCCGACAAGCAATCGATGTACTTGCGGATCGGTCCTCTTTCACATGAACGAACGATTCAGTAATCCAATAACAAATAAATAAATAAATGAATGAATGAATGAGCGAATGAATGAATGAGCGAATACGCTACGCCTCGATAGGCAATGTGAGTGTTCACCACGAGGGCGTTTCGAGAAGCTCCGCTGTTGCATGACCGCTCCGTTGCGCTCGCTTGGTCGACGCAAATGCACCGGCAGCCATTCGTTTGTCAAATGCTGTCAACAATTGCAGGAGCTCAGATCCAGACCCGTGCAGTGGTCCCGTGGTACATCAGTCCTCCCCCTCCTCGTGCGTAGCCACGACAGGCCATCAGTTCTTGCTGCTCTGTTGCAAAGCAGTCTGCGATCAGGTTTGTCCGCCAAGATCCATTGGACGGGATCGACGCGCCGACAGCGTTATGTCACGCAAAGTAGGACACGTCCAGTGAGGTCCGGCAACCCGTGAGTCCACACACGAGCCACTCACTGGTCACGAGCCACCCCACCTGCTTTTCCAACAGGAGCAGGGGACAACTCGCTCTTGCTCCGCTTGATTCACAATTCCTTTGTCCACGTCAATCCAATGTGGCACTCTTCCTCTCTTGTCCAGCTCCTTGTCCTCCTCTTTGCCTGCCTGCGTTCAACCCATAGCCAGTCGTTCGAGTCACTGAGCAACGGCGCTCGTTACATTGATATCGATAGCGACAGTGCCGGGGCCTCGGGCTCGGGCGAAGAAACGGTCGATCTGTACAATGTCTGCCCCGTACTTGTGAAGTTCAACGAGGAGCAGGAACTCCTCTCTGAACGCGAGTTGAAGGCCAAAGCGGTCGATGCCGCCATGACGGCGTACCTCTTGAGCCACCCGAACAACACGTTGTGGGACTTTTTCAAGATCGAGCGCAAGCAGAAGCGGGCAATGTGGAACCACTTGCCCACGTCGGAGAAATTCAAAAAGGTGTTTCGGAACGTGGTCGACATCGTGTCAGACACGGCGATCGAGACCGCGCACTTGATGGCCGACGTGGTCGAGTGGTGCGTCCACACGCTGCATCACCCGCACGTGGGCATGCGCCAAGTGTCGGACTTTTTCAATCAATTTGGCCGAAACGTCATGATCATTCATGGCCTCTTGATGAACGACACGCAGCGCACGGTGGAGAACGTCGGTGGGGGGACGCTCCTGTTCATCCGACACCACCCAGCGGATTTCATGTCGGCCGCCATCGTGATCTTCGCTACTGGAGCTGCTCAGATACATGGACTGTTCATGGCAATTGAATTTGTGTTTGGAAGCGCGGCTACGGCTATCATCAAGGTGTTGTTGACGGTCATGACGTTCATGCACTTCGTTGACGTCCCCGTCCTGCTCATCTCGCCGTTCGTCTCGTCGTTTGCGAAAACGTCTTCAGCATTGTCTTCGGGGCTGAACTTGACTCAGAATGGCTCGACGCTGACGTTGGATGCCATTCAGCCTACGAACGCATGCCTCATCCCCAAAGCGTACCAGCCCACGTTCTCGTCCCGTGACTTGTGTCTCAGCACGCCAGCAGAAGTGCGCGTGCTGCTCTTCGGCACGGCCAAGCGATCGATTGACATGAGCGACGACGAGCGCATGCACGCGTTCAACTACTTTCACGACTTTGTGTGCTGCTTCCTCACGGACCAGGAGTTCGAAGTGAATGCTCCGGTCATAAATGAAACCAGCTTTGAAGCGACGCTCGTGCCGATGCCCGTGAAGATGACGGATTGCGATAAGCTCTTCGCGGTCCATAGTGCCACGACGGCGTGGCGGACGAGTGTAGGTTCGGGCAGTGTCGAGGAAGACTGATGGATGTGTTTCGCGTGGTGAGGTTCCAGCTCGTGGGGTGCCGTGGACGATACGAAAGAGCACGCGGTCGACTGTTTCGAGGGTCGTGAAGGAGCTATAGCATCGTAGCGCAGAGTGCAGTATAAGATGTAGCTTTGAACCGGCGTAGCGAAACAGGAGCGTACCTTTCCACCAACGTCGAACTTGACTACTACATGCCCTCGACACAACGGCCATCTTCGTTTCGCAAAATGCCACACTCCTTGCGAGAGCCAACGCTGCCAGCTCCTCAGCCCACGACTACAACGACACATGACGAAAACGCATCCAGCAGACAACCCGTGCAAATTCCATTCACGCAGTGTGTCAGGGTCACATGCAACACGCCCCACAGGCGCCGCGATCCCTACGGGACTACATCAAGACGTAGGTGCTCTCCAACGGCGTCCGAAGTCGCTCGAGCGGCACTGAAATCGGCGGCAGATCGTTCGAAAACGAGTGGCGACTTGTCTTGGGTGGAAAGAGGTCGTCGGACAGCGAGACATCAATCACCTCTTGTTTCGTGAGCGAATCGCGGCCACACGCTGGCCATACGTCCACTGTGATGGTTTCGTCCTCGAGGTAATCCACCAACACGACCGGCACACATTGTAACTCTAGCTGGATGCCCACATTGTAACGGTGATGGCCATCCAGGATCGCACCCGTGACTCTGTCTACAAGCAGTGGCTCCAGGTAAGCATTCCAGGAAATAGTCGCGCGGCGCAACCCGTCGACGCGTTCCCAACTCACAACGTGCTCATGTGGCTTCAGCCACTGCAGCGATGCTAAATGTATCAGCGATCGCTTTGGCTGCCGCGGAGGATGGACGTCAAAGTGATACTTGTAGAAGTACGACGTCGGGTCCGTGATGCGCGTCAGCAGGAACTTTTGGCGACGTTTGATGTCGTCGGACAAAAGGTCTTCCAATGTCGCTGCCTTGTGCTGACAAAAGCTCGACGTCAGATCGTTCTCACGAATAGCATTGAAGAAGTCCTTCGTGTCAAACAGCGGCTTGATGATCAGGTCCATCTGCGTAGAGTAGCGAACGTGATCTTGCGCGCGCAGTCGACCACGGAACAGACTCTTGGTCACGGACGTAGCCAAGTTCTGCGCTCCGCAAATCAAACTTACCGATACGCGCTGTAGCCGCTGCCTGCGCTCGAGCAAGTGCAGCGTAATCGCCTGCATTCCTCCGCTCAACATCGACGTTGTTGCAGCTCGTGCAACGACTGCTGCTACAGGCACAGGTGGCTGCCGCAGCACGGACAACGGGATGGATATAGGCGGCAGACTCTCCGTTAACCTATGACGACTGGTCTTTGGCGGAAACACGTCCGACGAAAGTGCCATCGCAATCACTTCTTCCTTCCTGAGCTGCAGCCGTCCACACCCTGGCCACACGTCCACTTCAATCGTCTTGTCACCCACATAGTCGACCAGCACTGCCGGCACTTGCTTCAGCCGCAACTGCAGCGCAACATTGTAGCGATGATGACCATCCAAGATCGCACCAGTGCGGCTGTCGACCAGCAGCGGTTCCGTGTACGCGTCCCACGTCAGCGTCGCTTTCCTCAGTCCATTCACGCGTGCCCAGCTCACGATCTGTTCATGAGGTTTGAGCCACGCGAGGTCCACGAGCTGAACATCGGCTTTCCGCGGACACAATTGACGGCGGTAGTCGTCGTCATGGAAGCGGTAGAAGTACGACGTCGGGTCCGTCACACGAGCGACGAAAAAGGCTTCGACGGCCGAGACGTTGGAGCGGTCCCAATGGCTCTCGTCCGCCTCTTCCTCCAGTTCCTTTCCCGCGTCGTTGCCACTATCCTTGAACTTGAACGCGTTCCGCAGCACCGAATCGTCCCGTGTCGTGGGCAGCCACAAGTGTCTCCTCGTCGATCTCGACGTGCGACTCGCGGGCTCGAGACTGGACGCCGCATGGCCACTGACTGCCGCCAGAGCGGTCGAGTGCGACCGTCCGACCGGATGCCGTACGGTGGGCGCTACGACCAAAGCGCTCTGTTCGCTGCGGTCGAGTCGCACGAGTCCGTCGCGGGCGGGGCGACTTTGGGCACGACAAGACGGCGTCACGGGAGCTGCTGCTGCGTGAGCGGCTACGGGTTTACTTGGATCAGACACGACGTCGCGCTCGGCTGTCTCTGTAGCCACTGGGGGCACCGCGTAGAAGCGCGGGTTTGGCAGCATTGCCACGTGCAAGAGCGCGTCGTTGGACGGCGAGACGGGCAAGTGACGCGGTGTGGGCTTCGTGGTCCCGGATAACGTGACTTCCTGTCTATAATCGAGATAAAGAACCCCAATCGAACCATAGAGCCATTGCATACATAGTTAGCGCGATTTGTCGGATGACAGGGGGATAAGATTTGAGTAGGGAGCGCTAAAACCAAAATAGAAGAGGGGGAGCGCAGAGCGGATAGCAGATGACGATAGAGAGCGTACCCAGAATGAGGCGCCATGGCTGGTTCGTGTCAGGCGAGCACGTCCACGCTGTGGCGGTATACAGCACGATATGCGAGAGCCAATAACCGGGAGACGTGGAATAGAGTGCGCTCGCCACGTACGTTGTAGAAAGCAAATCAAAGTGTGTGACCAGCAGCCGTCGCGGCCTTTTCGTCCCCCCCCCCCATCTCTTTCTTACCGCTACTCTCGTTGCCCGGCGCTCGGTGTGGCTTACTCAATCCAAGTGCAGCCTCTCGTTGTTCACGCGCCACGTCTTGTTCCGGCTGCTCCCTTTTTTTGACAGCCCATGTGGGGTTGCAAGGCTTTGCAGGATCGATGCACGACGAGACTGCGGTGGATCATACAGCGTCCGCCTACTCGGAGCTCACGAAAAAGGACGTCGAGAATGTTCTCGATGCCCATTGCCCAGCGCTTGTGGCTCCGTGCCGCAAGAACCGCTCGTGCTGCTGCTCTCGGTTTCGACGCTTGTTGCAAGTTTTTTGCCGCTTTTGCGTCGGTGCGAACAGCAGCTTTTGATTCTGCTGGTGGCGCACTGCCAGGAGAGTTATATCCTGACGATAACGCACAACCGGTTGTAGCAATTGCATCGATTGGCTTTTTGCGCAAAGTGGCCAGCGCGCAGAGGAATAGGGTCTATTCGTATGCATGACATATCCTGAGTATCGATCGCAACGAGTGGACACATTTGCCGCAATTTGCTCGTGCACGACCGCTTACGTCGAAGTGCCAACTCCATGGCGGTGCATTGGGACGCCCGTCGACGTTTGTGACGAGTGATAGACCGATTGTCACGCAAATGTTCTTTGATTCCCGTCAAGACATTGGCGGGGACTTCGCGATCGTTTGCATCGTTGGGAGTGGGTGAAGATACGGCCGACCAACGGCGGATCGCTGACGACAGGCTGATAAACATCGCCAAAGGATAGTGACCGTTTAGTGGCCAGTAGTAGCTCGAGAGAACGTACGGTCGACTTTCAGGCCGTGACAAGGACCACGTGATAGACGGCCTTTTGCTTGCTGTTGACTTTCGTGACGTCATCGGGAGTTGTTAGTGGCTACTACACACTCTGAGCGGCTTCCTCCGATCGACGATGTAGCTATACGAGCCCTTTTGCGTCGCCCGATGTTTGTCAGAGGAAAGATGATGTATACTAAAACGAATCGATAGAAGATCGAATGCTACAACTGGGGGCAATCCACTCTCTCTTGGCACTTGCAGAGTGGAAGCGTTCACTTGATTATCGAAACTGAAAGGATAAGAAGTCTATCTGGGGGCAGCAGTCTCCGATCAAAGCAACAAAGAGGGATGTGTCGTGTTTGCTGAATGTTGAGGGTGTTGAGCCGTAAAGGTTGATCAATATGCTTATTATCGTATGTACCCTTAGTGCGATGCATCATATCTTGTCGACGTAATGCTGTACGGTAATCGCCTTCGCTTCAGTGGACACTGCTAGATAAGCCTCGTACAGACGCGAATTGGGGTCCGGCTTACATGATATGGTGCCACGATGTCTTAATGACATAGCTGATCGCAAGTTGCAGCGAGGCCAATGAACAGGCGCGATCGACCACGAGCGTCACCCTGACTTTGATCATTCTATCGGGACATTTCCGCGTTTGCAACGATGGCATTGCGTGTGTGAAAAAGCAATAGCGAATTGATCAGTTTGCTTGGCGCATGTAGTATTTGTCAACAACCGATGGGTAATGGTGCAATAGGTACCGCTATCCAACAGGTGATGAAGCTACGCACAGACTATCACTGACTGACCAACTCGTCAACAGCAGAAACTCCTCTGCTTTTCGCAAACCATCGACTATCACAGCTCACCCCCTGTCGGTCGACTCCATTGCAGCGCTCATCTACTTTGACTTTTTCGTCTCTTCCTCGTCGTCGTCGTCGTCTTTCTTGTCCTTCAGACTGTCGCTCGCTTTTTCCTCCTCTTCTTCCTCCTCCGTGTACTCGAGCAGCTCCTTGAACTCGCCGCGAACAAACGCAGTGATCAACGCCGAGCCCAGACACGCCGGCACGAGGTACAGCAGTGCTGGCTGTGCAGCATCAAAGAAGTACATGACCGCGACTGTGGCCACTAGACCCAGAAAATAGCTCAGCATGTTCACGTGGAAGAACGGCTTGGGGAACGGCTGGTCACCACTGGTCACGTTCGCACGGTGTGCGTCATACCGCAGCAGCAGGGCCACAAAGATGCCGGGAATCACAATGTCGCCGAGGCCTAAGATCGAGTTCTTTTGCTTCTCCGTGTCAGTGGCAAACTCGCGCGGGAAGATCAGTTTAATCGGCGCATCAAACGACATGGCCACCGTGACCATGACGTCGGTACCAAAGACCCAGAAAATGTCGTAGAAAAAGAGTCCGCAGAGCAGGATCGCGCCCACTTTGAACGTGCCGAGCGAGAGCGACTCAATGCCCTTGATCGACAGCGAGACGCCGAAGATGTTGTTCAGCAAGTAGTGCTTGGTCTGAAACCAGGCAGCGGCAAAGACCGACGCCAGCACGAACGTGAGCATCCACGCTTGCGACAACACGAGCTTGTATGGACCGTAGAACGGCACCTTGAACGTGCGCGTGTACGTCGTGGAGCTGCCTTTGAACAGCACTGTTAGCACCAGTGGACTAAACGCCTCCGTGAGGCTGTAGGCGCCAACGAGCGCAAAGTACGACGTCAGCAAAAGGTTCACAAGGTCCTTGTCAAACACCTTGAAGAGGATGTAGAGCCCCAACAGGACGCCCGAGCCCATCAGCGGGAACATGTAGGCGTCCTCGGCCTTCATGACTTCCTCGTTCTTCTCGCCACTTGCAGCACGCGCGTGCTGGAGCTTCAGCGAGAGCGTCGAGCCAATGTATACGATGGCAGAGGCCGACGTAATGAGCTGCACGGGCACGGGGATGAGCACAAAGTTAGACGCCAACATGAGCGAGATGAGCGCGGCGTAACAGCCGCTCTGGACAGAGTCAATCATCGTGGCTGCAACGGGTGCGGACCGACACGATAATGACAGCCAGGGAGAAGGAGCTCCTGGATCAAGGGTCGCTCAAGCTCGGATGCCACGTGGAGACTCGGCGACGTCACTACACGTCACTGAAGCGAATGGATCGCTGGCCAACGGTAGCCGAGCAGGTTTATTTTAGCCAGTCACAGGATTGCAAGATTGTGGTTGGCTGAATTACATGCCGCAGCGAAGTTGCTGCTGGTTTGAAATACCGACCAATCGCTGGCAGTCACTGCTGAGCCGCACGATAAATGAACAGATAGCAGTACATGCGTGAGCGTGCACCCATCGTTCGTGACGTTTGTCTTGTGACCACACCGGCTCTGATGCCTTGTGATTACTGTCACGTCGTGTCCCGGCGGCACTACGCCGGGGCACCGACGTAAGATAGGCGTGTTGAAGAACAATCGATCGGCGTCGCAGGCAGTCGTCGCACGAAGATTGTCACGAAGCTTTGAGCGTAGCTTCGTCTGCTCCTGTGGATGACAACCAAAGCGCCGGGAATGAGACCGCTGGCTCGAGGCCACAGCGACAGCTGTCCGCACATCGATTTGTCTGCCTCAATGTCTACTGTTTCGACAGTCTCTTTGCAGACAACAGCAGCCGCTAGTCAGCAGCTGCCTACCGTCTTACCACTCGACTTTTTTCCCCCTCGTGCGCTACTACCTCACGCAAGTTGTCACGAGCGTACGCCGACCACACGTCAACTTTGAAAAAAAAAAAGAGAGAGAAAGAAAGAGGCGGAAAGAAGAGAGAGAGAGAAGAGAGTGAGAGAGAGAGAGAGCCGTGGAGGGTGTTCCACCCACAGTTATCCCGTCCACTGGCGTTTTCGTCTCGGGCGACAACGTCGTCCGTCGAAAAAAGCTAATGAAAAAAACGGCCGTCTCGGAGGAAGAAACACAGTGCACTCCTCCCTCGTCTGGGCGGCCCTACCCCGCCTCGATGGTCCCCACAGCCCCTGTGTCTCGTTTTTTCTGCACACAGCCTGCACAGAACCTATCCACCGTACGGAGTAGAATACCACACAACCAGCAGCCCAGAGTCGAGACCACTGGCAACGGCCGACGACCAAAAACGCACCGTCATTTGCGAAAGGCGCGGTCCAAGGCACCCGTTGCTGGCTCTCGGTCGTTGTTAACTCGCCTGGCCGTTTCGTCGGCACTCGCGGGCCGCCTTTTCTCTGCACGGCAGCGCGTCGTTTTCTGCCCGACCCTAAACCGTATCCGGCAGAGGCAGGCTGCTGCCGTCTCGGGGGCGAGCGAGTTTTCGCTTCGTCCCTTGGTCATCCGTTTAAAACTCGATAAAAACAACACCGCGCGACCACAACAATAAAAAACTCGCGACTTTCACGTCCTTCTACCACCAGCAAACGCCCTTGTCCAGCATAGTGAACTCAAGTCCCGTCACGTCCAGCACACGCGACTGCGATGATAGAGTCCACGCCCGCGGCCGCTCCGGTCGCAGCGCCGACGCCCCTGCACGAAGAGAGCAGCAGCAGCGACGACAACCAGAGCGAGGGGTATGGGGCCCTGCTGGACGAGCGCGAGTGGCGCACGTCCACCGCGGCCGAGCCAGCGGTCCCGGCGCGTCGCTTTTCCTTTGTAGTGGCACTGCCCGCCAAAGTGCGTGACACGGTGTTCCGTCGACCGGTGAAAGACACGCGGGCGCCCCATTCGCTCCCGAAGAAGAAGAAGACCAAAGACCGCTCCGGTACCGCCGACACAACGCGGTTGTCCTCGGCGTCGTCGACGCCACGAGAAGCAGCGCTCGAGTGTTTAAAACACCACGACCAGCAGCAGCAAAACGACAACAACAACGACGACGACGAGGATTATAATCACCACGAGGATGATAAAAACATGGAAATAAACAGTGGCGAAACAACGTACACGGACGCGGATCCAAGCCGCCAGCACTGCCGACGCAGCGGAGGCAAAGACGGCGACAAAGTCGAGACGTTTCGCGCGTTTTGGGACGAGAAGCTGCGGCTGACCATGGACCGATTCGCCGGCAGTCGGACGTGTCGCAGCGACGCCGCGGCCCCGACGCACGCGTTCCACCTGTTGCTGCAGCTCTACGCGCATCAAGACGTGGTGAAGGAGCTCTACAGCAGCTACGACGCCCACGCCGCGGAGTTTGAGTTTTACATCCCGCAGCTCTGCACGTTCCTCATGCACGGCAACTACGACAAGCAGCACCAGCTCGAGTGCTTCCTCATGTCGCGGAGCGGCGAGTCGCTGCCGTTTGCGCACCGCTTGACGTGGTTCTTGCGGTCGTTCTGCGACAATGCGCGCACGTACCACTCGGAGTACTTGAGTGTCACTGCTGCCCACGATCAGGACAATGTGGATCTGCTGACGGCCATTGGACGACGCGCGGGCGTGCCGGCGCTGCTCATGAGCAGTGGACTTTGTGTTGAAGAAGTGACCGCGGCGATCCCGGACAACCTGGAACGGAGACGGTGGACGAACTTCCCGACGGACGACGACGAGCTGGACGTGACGACGTTTGAGACCGACGAGACGTTTGCCGGCCATTTGATGCGCAGGAGAAACTCGGTGCAGGACGAAGCGAGGACCGAAGAGGGCAACTCGGAGCAGATCTCGCTCTTTCGACAGACGCCACGGTTCGTCGAAGCGCTCACGGATCTCGCCAAGCAGCTCATCCCGATACCACGTCACCGGCGGAACAGTAAATTGCGCAAAGAGCTCATGGCGATCCATCAGCGAATGCTGCCGTCGGACGTGATTTACTTGCCCATTGGCAATTCGTGTCATCGCGTGAAAGGCATTCGGGTCGACGAGTGCTTTACATTTTCGACCAAAGAGCGAGTGCCGTACTTTCTCTGTGTTGAAGTGCTGGACTACTCGGTGTCGTCTACTGCAGACCCGAGCGTTTATCCGGAGAAGAACAAGTCAAAGGCAGGTTGCCACCAGACGCACGTCTTCAACCTGAAGCTGCCGTTCAAAAAAGCCGAGGCAGGTCTGGAGACAAGAGGGAATGCGGTAGACGACTCCCCCATGTCGAGTAGCACCTCAACCGAGAGCGAGGTGAGCCTAGCGGCGTCACCAAGTGCTGTTTCTTTGTCGTCTGAATTCGAGAAAGGAGAAGGAAGCGTAGCGGGATTGCCGACCTTTTCCAAGGAAGTCGATGATACGCTGATCGGGCATCCGTTAGACGACGGAAACGACGAGAACAGTGTTGACGAAAACGAAGAAGGTAACCGGGAAGCGAGGGCGATCTTTGCGGAGAATGAAGGGTCTTATCGAGCTGAAGAGGCGCAGCAGGATCGGCTCGGTCAATGGAACTTGCCGAGACCTGTACCACATAGCGTGAACGAGTACTCATCCAGCGCACCGGCTCGGTCGGGCGGACAGTTTGAAAACTTTTACTCATCGTGGTTCTTGAAGAAAGGCCCGCAAGATGATGATGAAGAAGAAGACGGTATTGCATGGAGCCACTCTGAGTCCAACGGAATGAATGTCGGCGAGACAGCTGAGATTGGTGCCGTAGCAGCTTCGACGTTTCGTAATGATCCGTCGTGTGTAGATGAGGGGGCTGACGGTGCTGGTGACGGAGAAACTGAAGTGCAAAACAGCGACTCAGTTCCGGCGTCGCTGTCCTCGAAACATGCGGATATTGAAGTCGCCGTTCCGCAACCTGATGCGAACGCAAACACCATGCGTCAGACAGAGCCTGAACGAGATCGTGCACCGGTCGATTGCGATCATGCTGGTAACGATACTTCGAAAGTGGTGGGCTCAGAAACGACTCCCGCTCCTACCCAAGCTGCAGGTCCCTTGCCATCCACAGTTCCGAAAAGTCTGACGGACGACATGACATCCACTTGTATTTCGGATGAGGCACCACCGTCGTCCAAGAAAGAAGCGAAGTGTGGAGCGACGAGCAAGGCGAATGGCGGAAAGGGTAACACGGTCAAGCCTATTGTGTCTGTGGGTATCTTGGGGTCCATCTTTGCGAAGAAGTCTCAAAAGGGCACGAAAGTGTCTACTGAAGTGCTTGCAAAACCCGACGAAGCAGCATGTTTGCCAAGGGCAGATGCACAGAACGCTTGCGGTGACAGAACGTCAGCGTCATCGGTTGAGCTCAGTGAGAGCGGTGTTACGGATGATTCTTGCGGCCAGGATGCGGACGACGAGGACACGGACTCAAACCGCGAGCTCGTACCGGACAACGACCATGTTGCGTGCAAAGCGGAGAACTCGGCCGCAACGTTGAAACCAGCAGAAAAGCAAGCGTCTTTTACTTCGTGGTTCTATCGGAAGCCCACGCCGTCGATGGCTGGTCCTACTGACAAGTCCGCGGGTGCTACGCCTCGCGCGGGCGACAAGGCTGTACCATCTGTAGCTGTCGACTCTGACCTGTGCACTCCGAAACCCACCGAATGTATCGTGGAAGACGAAGACATACCACAGGAGGAGCCTCGATTTCAGCAACGACCGCGTGACTTGAGCGTGAGTCTTGACTTCGCTGATCCAACTGCATGGAAAGAGAAGTTTGATCTGGAAGACGGTGTTACTGGTGATGGATCGGACGCAGAAACGGTTGACAGAAATACAATGTGCGACGATGATGAGAGCGAGCAAGTGGCGTCGGACGACGAGGACGAGAAGCCGATGATCGTGTTCCGCGAGCGCTGGAGTGATAAAGAAGCACGTATTCGCAGTGAGTCACCATACGGTGACCACCCTGGATGGCGGCTTCTCTCTGTCATCGTAAAGAGCAACGACGACTTGCGCCAGGAACAGTTTGCAGCGCAGTTGATTGCGCAGTGTGATCGAATCTTCCGCGAGTACTCCCTCCCTCTTTTGCTGAGGTAGGTTTGCCTCATTTATGCGCCGAACAACCAGCGATGATGTTTGGTACTGATGATGCTCCTGCTTTTTTTCTTGCTCTAGACCGTACAACGTGATCGCTACTTCGGCAACGACTGGGCTCATTGAGGCCGTTCCCGACACCGTTTCTCTCGATTCTCTCAAGCGGAACGATCCAGGTTACACTTCGCTGCTGTAAGTCGGTCCGTTGTTGCCATCTTGTGTTCGTTTCCAGCACTAACGACCCTTTATATTGCAGTGATTTCTACACTCGTCTCCACGGCGATAAAGACACTGCTGGGTTTGCTCGGGCTCAGCGAAATTTCGTGGAGAGTCTTGCAGCCTACTCTGTGGTCTGCTACGTATTCCAGATCAAGGACCGTCACAATGGCAATATCTTGGTGGACACTGACGGACGTGTGATCCACATTGACTTCGGCTTCTTTCTCACGAACAGTCCCGGTAGTAACTGGAACTTCGAGCGGGCTCCGTTTAAGTTGACGGATGAATTTGTTGAACTGATGGGCGGACCTCGTAGTTCGACGTTCCGCTACTTTAGGTCGCTCTGCATTCGCGCATACTTGGCGTTGCGCCGCAACATGGACCGGATCGTGCTGCTTGTGGAGATGATGCTCGTGGGAAACGCCGACTTGCCGTGCTTTGCTGGTGGGAAAAAGGCGGTCATCGAGGGTCTTCGCTCGCGTCTCAAGCCAGGTGCCCGTACGAGCGCTTGCCAAATGTTTGTGAACCAGCTGATCGACCAATCCATGAACAATTGGCGGACACGCTGGTACGACAAGTATCAACGAGCTTGTCTCGGAATCCTGTAGGGTATGACGGTGTTTAGCAGCGATGTCCCCATTTTTGATTTAGTAGCTATAGCGTAGCAAGCATTTGAATTATAAACGACTAGCTTCGGGGAGGCATGAACTTCGAGGCGCTCTTTTATCGATGGACTTTCGCTCTAGTATGTACACGAACCACGCATTTGAGCCGACGATGTGCGAGAGCAATGTTTAGACAGACGGGCTAAGTGGATGCAGTACAATCGATGGTGTACCCTAACAACAGTCGGCGCAGGTACATTCACGTCAACAATGTATTTGGATGCTTGTCGAATCTGTGCAGAAGTATCGTACAGTCTAGATATTCGTACCCTAGAAAACTACTAATCCTCGTCAAACCATTGCGGCAGTCGTGCCCTTCGTTGCTATCTTCTCGGACGGCGAGCAAGTCTCTGCTTGGTGATCTTCCTGAATCGTGCCGGACTGTTGTTCATCTTTGTCTTCCTGGCCATCGTCATGAGTTGGCGAGCCCAAGTCCAGTTTCTCGACAATTTCTTGCGGATCGGAAGACGGTATCAAGAAGAGAAAGAAAATGGGCACCACTTTGAACGCACTCCGCACGACGATGGCGATGCCCAGCATATCGTACTTGTCTTTCGTGATACCCACCCAGTCGCAGAACAGCGCGCCCCAAAACTCACTGATGCTGTACGAGACATTCGAGATGGACATGAGTAGCGCAAACAGCGTACCTTCAATACCTCGGGGGCACAGCTTGGCACAAAGAACGATGATCGGCATGGTTTTCAGCCGGCCAATGACATCGGCGACCACGTGGTCACCGAGTACAAACGCCTTGTCCGGAATCCCAAGCGTCAAGTTCTTGCGCGTCACCAGCACAACGTCAGCCAGCGACACAAGAGCCAGGCACAGCTGCGAGACGAGGAAGATCCGGCGAAACGATACATTCGTAAAGAACGAATTGTACAGTATCGTTGCCACCATCAAGAAGATAAAGCCGATGGCCGCCACGGTTCCCATGAACTCGGGCGTAAAGTGCAGCACGTCGGTCGAGAAGTAGAACAGCACCTGCGTGTACGCTGGACTGATGGCATGCGAGATGAACACCCACAGCGCACACATCCAAATCACAGGCGTGCAAATGGCAATCTTGAGCTGGCGTAGCTGCTTGGTGGCCGACGAGACAAACTGGCGCTTGCGCAGCGTGCTCTTGGGTTCTTCCATGTACAAGGAGAACAGCAGCGTCGTCAGCGGCGCAATGGCCGAGACACCAAAGACACCTCGTGCCCCCAACTTGTGCGTGGCCGGGCCCGACAAAAACGCGCCCAGCATGCCACCCAGTGATCCAGAAATCCACGCAAGCGACTGCAAATCGCTCGCGCCATTGTCCGGGTCCCGCCGGGCAAACTCGACGATCCGCGCGTCAATGACCACGTCAATCACAGCGGCCGAGAGGCTCTGCAGCATGAGCACGAGGACGGCCACCGTCGACGTGGTCACGAAAGCCGGATGGGCCAATGCCAGGGCCGCTGCAATGCCCAAGACACTGCAGAGCACCATGTACGACTTGCGGTGGTAGCCCCAGAGCGGTAAGCTGTCGGACAGAATGCCGTACACGGGTTTGACGCGCCACGGGACTTTCGTGACCATCTGCAGCAGCTGCGACTGCGTGGGCGCGAGCTGCAGGTTCTCTTTGAAGAAAAAGTTGACCGCCAGCACTGTGAAGCTCGAGAATCCCTGCGCGACGTACGCGACGTTGATCAGCACGAGGAACGACGTGCCGAACGTGCGGCGGAGGTGGCGCACCCAGTGGCACAAGCGCTGCACGGGCGAACGGCTCTTGTGGTCGGCTGTGGCGGTCGACTCGGGCGGGTCCGCAGCCGCTGACGGGTTCCTGCGGATCGGGTGCTTGTTGGCCGTCGCTGCGGTCTCGACCGCCGACGCTGCGGTCTCGCGCGCCATTGCTGTCGACCGTCGGGAAATCGGACCCTGGGGACGGACAGCTGGTCCGGACCTTTGCTGCGCTCTACGTGCTCTGAAAGCGGCTGGGGAGGGCCAATCGGACGGGTGGGGGGAGAGGGGGGGGTGAATGTGTTTATTTCCTTCGCCGAAAGGGGCTGTAAACGGCGGCTGTCGGGTGGATGGGCGTTTTTTTCCCTCGGTATGCTGATGCAATCAATTGGAGTGTGCAATGGGACGTGTGGGGTGTTGTTACTTGGACGAGTCAGTCATTGCATTGTTGGGGAAAGGACGACACGGTCGAAGGCAGTGGGAGAAGTGAACTGAGAGGAAGCGAAGGGGGAATAGGAGGAGGAGGAGGAGGAGCATTGTTTGTGGTTGTTGTCGCTGTTGAACAGCACCGACGGGTGAGCAACAACTACAAACACGACGTCTCTCGTTTCGTGCCCACCTCACCACTCCATCGACCCGTCGACTATTTGCCGTACAACGCGTCGGTTAAGAACTGCCATGTTCTGCTGCGGCTAAAAGTATAGCAGCGTGCAGGATACATCAAACACCGTCTCGGCAGTTTGCCTTAGCATTTATCATCGCTGCTGCCACTTGCGTTTTCGCCCGTTTTTACAAAAAGGGAACACACACAGTCCATAAAAGCGCTGAAACAACCAGCTGTACCCATCGCACTTGACGACAAAAACACACACACTTCGTCTGTTGAATGCACCCCCCAAAAAAGCAGATAGGCGACAAAAACCCGTCGCCCACGCCATCGTCAAACTCGCCCTCCCCCTTTGGAAGAATACCGTCGTCTCGTCTCGATGGCTTCGATCGCGGCGTCTCCAGGTGCGTACGCGACCGCAGCTCTCTCTCTCTCTCTTCTGCCTCACATTACATCCTTCTCTCTCTCTCTCTCTCTCTCTCTCTCTCTCTCTGTATGTATGTATGTTGCCAGTGTTCCCCACCAGTCTCAAGCGCTCGCGGCTCGGCGACTCGCTCGACCTCTCGCGAAAGAAACGCCAATGTCGAGCGAGCGATGCCATTGGTCAAAATGAAACCCCTCTCGACGACTTGGACGTTGCGAAATACAGTCAGCGCCATGTCGAATACTTTGAGCAAGTCAAACAGGCGGAGCTCGCGCGCATTCGGACCGAGTTCGACCACTTGAGCATGAAAAAAGACGCCGAGTTCCAGCGACTGGGGCAAGAGCTGCAGCAGACGCTCGAGCGGGCCGCACTGCAGGCCCAAGACGCGGCCCGGCTCCAGGCCGAGAACAAGCTGCTGAAGCGGGCCGTGGCGATCCAGAACCAGCAGAAGGACGAGGTCCAGCAGGAGAACAATGTGCTGAAGCAACTGGCCACGCAGGCTGCGGAGCACATGAAGCGGCTCGAACAGGCGAATTATACGCTGCGGGTCCATTTGCAGACGAGCACGAGCGCCGTGATTGGCCACCGTCAGCCACCCGACGTGTACTAGTGGTGCCTTATGGATGGACGGACGCGCTCGCTCTGTGGCTCGCTCGAGGTTGTTGATGCCGAGAGAGAGAGAGGGAGAGAAGGGCGCTGCTCTTCTCGCTCCAGTCGTTGACGCCGACGAGATGGCGAAGCGAAGCCAGGCGCAACGTGGTCGGGTCTGCTTTTTTCTTCTTACATTTATTACGCGTAAACTAAAACAAACGCGCCAAGTGGAGGCGCTGGTGCATTACAATTGCCTCGTTCGTTTGTCTTGTTGGTTCTGCGTCGTGTCTCTAGGCTGACCGAGAAAGCGGTTGTTCTACGACGCGGTAGGCGTGCCATCGAGTTCGTCATCCTGTGGTGTCTGGTCCCACCCTCCGTCCTCTTGCTGGAACTCCTGTGCGAGTTGTGAAGCCGATGCAGCGCGCGCCCGAGCAATGTCCTGGAATCCAAACATTGCACGGAGGCTGTTGCGAAAGACAAGAGCCATCAGCAGCAGGATCGTCACTGCAATCCAAGCAGCTGCTTGACGACGCTCCCGTGCGGCATTGTATTCGTCAATGTGTCCGTAGCGATTCTTGAGGTGATACGGCAGCTCAAACTGCGAACGCTTGGGCCAAATCGACAGAAACAGTTCGTGCAGTATCTGGCTCACTGCGGTCGACGGATTCTTCATGTCGTCATTGATGCACACAAACTTGGTGCGGCGAGCACGGGTGCCCATCATTTGCTTCCACGCAAACTTGTAGTCGTCGCTCAGCATGTGGAATGTCACCTCGGTCTCCGGCATCAGCTCCACCTTCGACTCGTAGCGAACGTTCTTGATCAAAGCGTCTCGCACCTCAGGGCATCGCTCGAGGTGTTCCAACGTTATATGTGGCGTCAACGTCTCACTAAGTCTTAGCGTTCCCTCGGCCGTCAAGGTCTCACGCACCTTCTCGCGTTTCTCGGGTTGCACGCACTTGCGCACTTCGTCAACAAAGGCTTCAGGAGGTGCATCTCCGTGTGCAAGACTAGCAGCCGTCAACACCTCGTCTTCGTCCAGAATACCGTTCCGGTTGGCGTCGATATATTCGTACCAGATCTCTTCAAGCGTATGTGGACGGATCTTGGCGCGATTGATCATATAGTGAAAGTACGAGAAGCTGAATTGCATATCCTGCGGGTGGCGGAAACGGTGGGCCGACGTATCGTGCACTTCCTTCGTCCAGTAGTCCTTGATTTCACGAATGATCGATTTCTGCAGCAAAAACGGCATGTGCGACGGTACACGGCGTCGGTCCGACGTCGTGGGCTTGCCAAACACGCGATTGTATAGCTTGTTCACAAAACGCAGCGAATCCCCAAATGTGTCCTTCGACAGGTGTGCCTGCGCTTTCTCCAGCGTCATCTCGTGCTTGTCCAGCTCAGCTGGAAGGGATGCTGGTCCGCAAACGTCTGCGTACTCAACATCCTCCACGCTTTCAGTTGAAGGCACCACATGCCCAACACCAATGGCAAGCTTAATGATCTCGTACAGAGAACTCAAGGTACCAAGAATTCCGTCTTTGCCCCCAGCCTCGCGACCTTCTTGTTCAGACTCTTTGCTCCGTGCCAGACGTCGTTTCTGAGCTTCACACGCAAGTTGACGACCGTCTTCTTCGTTTTCTTCCTGCTGCTTTCGCACGTCCGCCTCAATAGTCTCCTCGGCGGACAAGCGTGGGAAAGGCACTTCGTCCGGGTAGCAAACTTGAGGCCGAAGCCCAATGAGCCGTGTGGTGCTGTCAATGCACCAATCTGGCAGCTCAAGCAGAGCCATGTCATCTCCCACGTAAGGTGCGTACACCACTTCTGGCTTCGGCGGATGCAGCAAAGCCCAGAGTGTTGGCTTGTGGACCATTTCCACCTTTTCCGAGTGGTAGTGCCCCATGGCTAATGCAAAACAAAAGCGGTAGCGGGACGGGTCAACGTGATCGGCGTCAAAGAAGCAGATATGACCGTCCGTCACAAGTGCCGGGCCTACCTCTCCGCTCCCTTCCATCGCAAAATCCGTTTTGCTATGAGGTGCGGTAGCAATGTCGATGTCCGAAGGCGTGCTACCATCTCTTGCAGCTTGGAATGCATCATCTGCATCGGTCTCTTCTTCTTCCTCCTCGTCCTCCTCGTCAAGCTTCCTGGCCGCTATATACGTGGTGTGCGCATGATGTGGCAGCATGCGGACAGTAACAATGACACCCTTATTGTCGTCGGCAAGACGGCATTTTGCAATTTCACTGTCTGCTTCATCGAATGCGGCTCCGGCGTCCCCGACTTCGTCCTCTGTACTGTCCTGAATGGCGCTACTTTGCATATGAGCCTGTTCATCATGAGTCCCTCCAGAAGCGTGGTCAGTAGAATGAACGACGTCAGCCTGCACTTTCGTTCCATCGAACGAAGAGCCTTGGTCATTGTCAACGATGACGTCGGCTACGTCCCCAGTAGCGTCACCGGAAGCAGCTGGTAAGTTCGTCGGATTTTTGTTCGTCGGAACTCGCAGCTGACAAACGTATTGATCGTGCCAATCAATATCTTCTCCGTCGTTGTGCAGGCGCATGTGTGCATGCCATCCTAGGTTGACAATGCTTCCGTCACCCGCTTTCTTTCCTGTAACGTCGAACGGCAGAAAAACCTCGACCCGTGACACCTCGTCGGCTAGATCTTCGTCAACGATAGCAGCAAATTTGTCCTGGACTGTCTCAGTCGTCATGACATCTTTCGCGTCATCATCGAAAGACGGAATTACAGTGCGAAAGGTAGCTTGCCGAAACGCGAAAGGCAGCTGAACACGACTTGGCCGGACACTTGTATTCTGAAAGGTAGACGCACCTCCAGAAAATTGTAGAACAGCGTGCTCAACTTGAGCAAGGTCATCAGACGGCTCCATCCGTTGCTCTCCTCGCACGATCGACAGCTTCAGTTCAATAGGATTTTGTTCTGCGTCTTCACCAAGCACTGATAGTTGGACACTACTTGTCATCGGGCAACCCTCGCTGTCACGGCCAAACACAAGCAGCAAAACCATTTCCGTCTCGTACACGGACGCGAAACGAATGAGTTTCTCATTGTCATGAGCAGCACTCCAGATACTACCATTCACGCCAAACGCCTCGGTAAGGTTCAAGTACGTAGCATTCACGTGAAGCGGCACATGCACAAGCGTGCGGCTTCTTGTAACATCCGCCGACCAAAGATTCTCGATCAGCGGCGACAATTTCTCATCGTCTTCCTCATCAGCAAGATGAGCAAGCGAACGGTGTACATGATGATGCGCTGTCTGCACTTTACAGTCCCCTCCATCATACGCGCACGAGCTGACATTGCATGGCTGGTTACACACACCGTCCCCCAGCCATAAGTAATTACACGCTACTTGGCACAAGTAGTCGCCCATTTTTGGAGGCTTGGGCGCGTCGTCTAGAATTGTCGCAATCTTCTCGGCATCACATGTCACTTCTCCATTGAGCGGGTTCACGTCACATCCGCAATCGCCCATATCGAAATCACACGCCGTCACATTGCACTCCTTGTCACACTTCCCGTTCGCCAGACTCGACTCCCTGCACCTCGCAGCACATTGCGGAATCTCCCACGCAAAGTAGGCTTTTTGCACACCAGCTTGACTCACAAAGTCTTCGGGTCGCACCGGTGAGCCCAGGAACACGTCGTCATTAAAGTAGAGAAACATGTCACTCAGGCCCGGGATGTTGTCCAAGTTCCACTCGATCGCAGGCGACGAAAACACTGGCAGGTGACCCGAGTCCATAAAAATGTCCCTGTGCTTGACAATACTGATTCGAGGCGACGCAATGTCCAGCCACGACGGGATTTGGCCGTCGGTCACGACGTAAATGTGGCGCACCCACGGAGCGTATTTCTCCAATGACCGGAGCGAGTACCGGAGCTCCTCGTTGTCGCGGAATCGGTTGTCCGCGTTCGAGTCGTCGTTCCCTTTCACGTCTGCCTCTTGACCCCACACCGGCAGCGGTTGGCCCGTGAGCGACGCGATCCAGTGCTTGTGCCAGAACTCCTTCTCCTTTTTCCAGCGCGGGTCCGTGCCGTTGACCCACGTGTACACGACGTCAATGGGTCCATACGCCAAGAACTCTGACGACGGGACGTTGCCAATGTTTGTGCGGTCCACAGACGGCCAATCGCTGACGAAGAAGGCGAGGGAGGTAGCCAAGACACCAGCGATGAAGACGGCGAGTCGGGAGTAGCTGCTGCGGCGCGGGGGAGGGCTGGAAGCAGACGGATCGACGTGCGACGGCGGCGACGTCATTGTCGACACGCGTTGGTTTCGCGCGCGACGTGCTGAAGTACCGATAGACGGAGAAGTAACACAAGGGAGTGGCTACAAGTGCTGCAGATGACGTGTATGTTGGTTGGCAGGGCAGAAAAAAGAACAAAGATATGCGGTCTCGCAGGTCCACCAGAAGAGCTAGCGGGTTTCGGGGGCGTCCGGCACGGGTTTGAGCTCAAAGTCGTCGAGAGTCAACTTTGCCGTCATTTTCTAGCCACGAGACGACACCACAGAGCAGCATCGGTTTAGTATCGTCACTATCCGACATAGACAAAAGTCAAGCGATCCGTCAAGTGCGTAGCGTAAGTCCGTAGGTCCGTTGACAAACTTGTTGCGGGTGGCCCACGCACGAGTTGTCCATCGCAATAGAATAAAACCCCAACAGGGCAAACCCTCTCAAACAGCAAATGACACGCACTTTGTGCTCTTCCTCCAAGTTGAAAACGTGCTCCGACTGACTCTTGACCGCATGATCTCGCGCCTCGTACTTGCCACCGACAAACTGGTCATGAAACAAGCAAAACACGTGTTGAAACCACCACACAACCAGACAAAGTCCAACAGATCAGTGAGTCGTGCGACGCCACGGTAGCAAACTGCGGGCATCGAGTGGTGCACTGAGACCTGCGTGAGGGCCACGTAACCGCCGACGACAAAGAGAACGAGCGGCAGACCCGCTGTGGCAAAGTGGTTTTTCTTCTTCAGACGCTGTTTCGGCGCCGTCGAGACGACCCGACGCAAGTGAGTCGAGTTGAACATTTGCTGCGAACGGGCGAAAGGTTTGGCAAATTAGACGCCTGGGACTTGTAGCGACACGTTTTCGGAAAGGGTCTCTTTTTCCAGTTTGGGCCCCTTTTTCTGCTGCGCCAATCAGATGTCGCAGCTTCGCCCACAGCGAGTCCAGCTTTGCGTGAAAGCGTCATGCCGAAAGCCTCCGCGAAGCAGTATCTGGTCCTCTTTAGTGCGACGCTGGGCTCCCTCTTTGCAGGATCGAGCGCCATGCATGCAGTCCTCAAGCCAGATCTCGTAAGCTCTGCCTCTATGTGGTATGCTTTTTGCAGGATCATTCCATCACTCGGTGATCTCACACACTGGTGGTACTTGTTGTTTGTAGACCATTCCGGACCTCAGTGGTGGTGATAGCAGCACGGAAGCTCGTGCAGCCGACAAGGACAGCCACTACTGAATGGATGATTGATAGAGCAATGTTTGTGACGAGAAGGCTACAGATAGGACTGTTGCATGGTCACTCACTGCATACGCAATGCATTCGACTGCGATTCGAAAACTGGAAATGGATCCGACACGCTCTCGAGCTAGTTTGATGCTTTTGACGTCTACACATCACGTTGACTATCCTTTGCTTGCGTGGAAGAGGTACAAGTGACTAGTTGTAGATCTTTGCGTCCATGTGTGTCGCTGCTGTCGTCACTGCAAAGCGCCGCTACCAAAACTGCCGCTTTCACAGCTTTTTTCGTGCTTTGACAGCGTGATCTTGCGACTGAGCTACGAAAACGAATATCGTTACGCAGCACTGCACCACGTTCGCAACTGCGTTATCGTTCTTTTGCTCTTGTCCATTGTACTGCAGGCAGTCAGACAGACAGACCGACGCTAGGCGTTCTGCCTCTTGCGTGACTGATACTCCAACTGATGCTTGACGACGATTGAGCAGTGAATGCATTCAAAGTAGCAGGGATGAAGCAGTTCGAAGTGCCAAATGTCGTCGAGAGGGTCTCTGACTGGACATACGAAGCGGTCCGACAAAGCCATGCATTTGGCTGGCGGCTAAGCCATGCTGCGTAAGCGAGGTGGTAGCTGGCTGATTTTCCCCTCGATCTCGGCAAAAGTCAAGCGTGTCACTGGCTCAGCCTTGCATTTCCTCATACGACCATGCACACTGCTTGCATCAGATTCATCACTGTCATAATTGACAGCAGACGCGTGCTGCATGTCATGTTTACGCGCTATGCGATCACACTTTTTCGTGTGAGGCGGATGGACACGTCGCTCGTCCGGGCCAGGATCCGTCAATTGCAGCTTTGAGCTCGGACTGCTCTTTCTATCGGCTCGCCGATTGCTTTCGAAGCATTCATCATGATCCACCTCGCCCGTTGTTGACACCGAGGACACTGATGTAGCCGAGCAGGTCATTCGTGCAATTGGCGTCGTCACATCTTTCTTGTTGCAAATTGCTGTACGCAACCGAAGATGTACTGGCGACGAGCCAACTACAGCTGAGGTCGTAGCAGCCAAGTAGCTAGAGCGAGCGCACGTTGACAAGCTTGAGCTAGATGCATAACTTTGTTCAGAAGCACTGCTTTGCTCGTCCACTATCTCGTCAAGAAGTGCGATATCGGCCTGCCGGTATTGTCGACCATCCGGTTCGCTATCTTCACGGTCAACAGCTTCTTCTCCATCATTTCTGGTGTCCCTCCAAGTGCTGACAGCTGCGGATTCCGATCGGACAGCGTGGCTAGACGCACTTGACCCGACAGAGATATCGGACATGACATCGCGTTCAAGACGTCGCAATGGACCAGTTACAAGCAGTGAACGAACATCAGCCTTAGCGACCACGGCTTGTTTCATACGTCTAGCCTCCACATTCCGTCGCGCGCGCAATAAGCCGACCGACGCATTCAGATTTTCTGCGTCTAGGTCCCAGTCAGATGAAGCCGAGGAGCTTCGTCCACTGGATTGCATCAACTCTCTTTCATCAACAACAGTCGATGCGCACATACCAGCTGTCCCCCGAGCTCTAGTTGCAGATGCTTGACGACGTAAATAATCAGCTGCAGCAGCCTCGCGACCCTGGTAACGCACATGTCGTATGCTTCGTGCAACGGAGGCAAGCCGCTTTGTTGCCGGTCTTGTGTTGTTTTGTACTGCAACGAGCTGCTTGGCAAACTCTTCCGACGCTTCGCTGCCCTCATCGAATGAGTGCGGAGCCGACGATGACATGCAGGTAGGAAATAGCGGGACCAGCTCATTTACGAGGCTATCGTCAGCGGGGTGGTCAAGGTGCATCCGATGTAGGCTCTCATCACATGAGCTTTGTGTCTCTGAAAGTGGTAACGAGTACTGGGTGATAGATGCAGCTGAAATACTGTGCCTTCGTGCTTTGTGATGCATTTGTCGGCAGTGTGGGTCACGAGAATAGAAAGCAGTGAAAGAGCGCCCACTGTCCGTACCGACAGAAGGACAACACGATTCAATCTCAGAATTTTCGTCATCCGTACTGACACCCTTAGAATCCGAGAAGGTCGTCATGTCTGGATCAATAAAGCATCGACCCAGCGTCCTCGTTCTTTCATTAGCCACTTCATATAGGCGCGACAGCGACATCTGGCTGATAGTGCTGGACGAAATAGACGAGGACAGCTGCCCTTCCACGCTCATGGCTACTTGATCCAAGAATCTTGCCCTGCCAGTCACCACTTCATCGAGGCGTGATAGCGATATCTGGCTGACACTGCTGGACAGTGACAGCTGTCTTTGTGCGCCATCTTCTGCATCTGTAGCCATTTTGTAATAGCTTTTTCCATCAGAATCATCACTCTTGTACGAACAGACTCGACTGTGCTCCATTCTGCGTCGAACTTCTTTTTCGTTTCCTTTCTCCACTGTACACTTCTGTGGCGAGACCTTCAGGCCATAAGAAGCAGACTGGGTTTCGACTAGCTTGGGAGTGATCATGTCATCTAATCGCTCTTTTCCGTCGTTGACGCTACTTCGATGCGTTTGGACTCCAGACAAATGTCGATCACCTCTGGTCGCAAGCTCATTCCATTGTGCATCAGGCAGCTCCAGCAACGATCGAGCACAACAGTCATGGTGTTCTTCCAACTGTCCTGTATTCAACTGCGATCTTTTCTTTTGGTCCCCGGAGAGCGCGACGGAAGACGAAAGACCGTAGCGCTCAGCGATATTTCTCTCCGAGTGTTTGGCCTCCATATCCCTGTCTAATCTGTTGTCACCCTCACTGCCTATGGACCCACGGTGTGCTACAGACACAGAGCAGCTTTGACGCTGCTCCGTGCTAGGTGCTGTAACTGGATGATCTTTGGTTGCTAGCTTATCCCGTTGCAATCGATGTGTCTTCATTGATCCATGATCACCACTTACTGACCAGTCGTGCTTTACGTTTGTAATCGATGTACCAGTCTTGTCCTCCAGTTTGCGATCTTGATACGTACCAAGCGGTTTCGAGGGTACATTTGGGGTTTCGGATGCATCATTACCCAAATTACGCATGTCACGCAACGTCATCGATTTCTCATTTTCTTCACGTTGCACGTCTCCCGACGCAGTCGCTTTCAAGACCCTTCCACACGCACAACTGTGTCGTTCGTCATGTTTACTTGTAGCCAACGCGCCAGACTCCAACTCGCCAATCGTGTCAATAGAATCACTGTGCTCAGGCCATTCAAGCTTACTTCTGCATTGCGGCTCTCCACGTGCGATCACATCGCTCCCCAAACGTTCATGCTTGAGATCCGCCACAGCGGCCGGTCGAGCATCGTTTGTATCACTCGGAAACGACGACACTACAGCTGATTTGTCAATCAGGCTGCCGTTTTGAGCAAACACACCCTCTCGACGTGCACTTGGCGTGACGAGCGTTTCGTCCTGGCTCTTCTTTTCTCCACGTGTGTCCATCTTGCTCCGTTCTCCTGCTAGTACTTGTGCAACATTCTGTTTCGTTCTACCTCGAGCAACGGGTTTTCGTTGATGCTGAACACTCGCAACGTTTGACTTCCCATTCTTCTGCTTGTCGTGTCGCCGCCGCGCACTCTGCACAGCCAATTCGTCCTTGAGAGCTCGTCGTGCATCGCAAACTGTCCGCCCTTTCCGTCCATCGTGACGCGTATCAGTCCACTCCGTTCGCGCAGATTCTGCCTCGTTTTGCACCTGTAGACTCTTCCAGCGCTGCAGTTTTTGCAGATTGTTGCGATAGCGCTGCGTCACTTGCTGGGCGAGACGTCGCTCCTCGTCACGCATTGTCAAGAGACGACTTCGGCGACGCGCCATCTCGTCCTCACGTGAATACAGCTCGATCTCGCCGGCACTGAGCGGGATTCGGCCCAGAGCGTTCGTCCGCTGCCGTCGACTTCGTATCGCCATAACGGATCAAATTATGACGTTTGAGTGGACTTGTGGCTCTTTTGGTGGAAAGAGGTGTCGATTCGGACACTACAGTGATAATTCACCAAAATTTGTGGCTTGCATTACTAACTACATCTGTCTGTGATTTTATGTGCATGTCGATGTATGTTGAAGGACCGAGCGCAGTCAATCGTCTTTTGGCCGCAGGGGAGTCAGAAAGGAGTTATTGCGTGTCGTGAATGCTGATGGCGGTAGACAAGGGAAGTACCATATTCGTAAACAAAGCGGAGCACAAATGGGGGTTGACCGAGGGCATTAAGTGCAGGGCTACTAGTCGTCGAGAAATTTGGCTGACGGGGAGAAGTGCATGATGCGATGTCGCATGAGGTACTGTTTCTCGCGATCTCTTCGAGCACGAGGTATTCGACACTGACGTCACATCTAATGTAGCAAGCAGCAACGTATTGCAAATAGAGGATGGAAAACAGGACAGCACGACCAGTCTCGACGTCAAGCGCATCGAGTTGAAGTGGATGCACGTTCGACCATGAAGCTCAACAGACGCCACACATCCGTAAAAACGTCGGGGTCATCACGGTATGGGCGTACTCACTATTTTTACTTGTCACCTGTGGAATCGTCAGTGCAATCATGCTGATGTAAAAAAGTTTGACAATGCCAGTGCGTAAGATGAAGGCGAAGATGTTCTTGATGGCGCGATTTACATATTGATTCGAAAAAGCAGGATCTTCGGAGCAAACTACGTACTTTCGACGTCATGCTTTTGGTCAGACAGAGAGGATCGAGACGACGTGTGATGGTTTGCACGATGGCGGAAACGTCAAGCAAAGGTCCCATCGAGCCTGTGTCGTCGCTAGCTGAGATCTTTCTGATGAGTGGAGTATGCACAAAGGCGAAGTCAATTGTTCCTCAACATACCTCAATGTTGACAACAACAAAGTCAAAGTAGACGCGAGTGATGCATCCAGAGGTAGAGTAAACCCACGCAACGCTGTCAGGATATTGGCTACTTTTTTCAACATGGTATGACATGCATCAAGCAGCGCAGGAATCGACATCGATGTGGTGAGCAACATTACCGAAATGCCACGGATCTTCGCGGAAGTGAACGTGGCGACGTCGAAGTGTCGGATCGGGCGAAGTTTGTGTCACTTTGATCAATAGAAGGAACCGGCATCATCTACACAAGCTGCAGCAGAAAGAATCTGTAGAGCGCATACAGCCAACTACCAGAAGAAGCATGCAAAGATAATATTATGTGATGCAGTGTTAAGGCAACGGGGTGACCAATGCACCATGTACGATTGTACATGTCTTGCGAGGACCCCAATGAACTTCGACTTTACCAAGAACGTGCCGAGTGCACAATACCGCTAAGCTCATGATGACGCACGAGTGTCAGCTGATAGGATAAGCTCAAAGTGACGCTACCGAGACAACAACGATCAAAAAGAGAGACTCTACTACTGCCAGCCGGCTACGTGAATACGTCTTGTGCTGTCTTGTATCGGATATGACCGCTTCCAAGGCCATTGGATTTTGCAGAGGGATCCGGACTAGCTGTCAGACAACGTGTATTGCAGTGCCTGCGCTTGACAGAGAGATTTTGCAGCGAAGTTAATGCGTGCTGCTTTATTAGCTCAGGCACGAGGCGGGAGAAATGGTGCATGAAAGTATCAATGTTAGACAACGATGGGTAGTCTTACTACAAGAAGATTCATTCGCATGATGCCACCCACCACAACCGTTTTCACATCTATTCCAGCTAGCGTTTCGGAAAACCGCTACTGCACAAGCTCATCGATCGACACTGACGTGGTGGGTGGTCCATACGACACCTTCAGCACAAGCATATTGTGGAAGGTCGATCAAAGCCTGTTCGGAAGCAAGCGTCCCAGCAGCTAGTGCATACAACCCGTTCCAGTCGATGGGAGCAATGAAAAATACTGCCTAGCACGTGGATAGGGACGCAGCAAAACATGACTCAGGTACAGAGTTACCCGTTACTTGCTATCACCAATAATGCTCTCTTCGAACCGACATTTCAATAACCAAACAGTCGATGCACTCGCGTGTACCGGTGATCGATGTCAATTGGACCCATATCTGAGCCAGCGATCGGCAAAACGTCAAAGGAGCAACAGTCCAGACCATTGTCAAAGTTGGCAAGGTCAACTCGAGTGCTGATTACGATGCTGCCCTTCATCGTTCGCGCATGAAACAAATGTGAAACATCGTGTGGCCAAGCGAAGTGTTCGTGCACCAACTCAAAGCGACTGGTGTTTGCGCGAGGGATATCAAACACAGATGAGGCTGAACATTAGCACGAGCAGAGATGCGTTAAAATGATTTTCCAACGAGCGCTACTTTTGTGTTTGTAATCAAGATCGGCACGACCGACGGGTCCGCCAAAGTGGATACGTCGCCAAGCGAGTCCTCCTCACCATGAGCGATTTTGCGCAGCACGCGGCGCATGATCTTGCCACTTCGCGTCTTCGGCAAGCCTGGCACCAGCACAACCAGATCAGGAGCTGCAAAAGCTCCAATGTGCGCACGAACTTGTTGTACAAGCTCTTTTTCCACGTCCTTCGACGGTTCCATACTGTCCACTAGCGCCACAAAACAGCAGATGCCCTCGCCCTTGATGCCGTGCGGGATCCCGATCACTGCTGCCTCTGCAACAACGTTGTGTGCCGTCAGCGTACTTTCGATTTCCGCCGTGCCAATGCGGTGACCAGACGTGCACAGCACATCGTCGATACGGCCCGTGATAAAGTAGTAGCCGTCCTTGTCGCGGCGACAGCCATCGCCAGTGAAGTACAGACCCTTGTGAGTCGACATGTACACCTGCAAATAGCGGTGGTGGTTGCCATACACAGTACGGGCTAAGCCTGGCCAGGGTTTGCGGATGCAAAGCTGACCTTCGACGTTGTTTCCCTTAATCTCGTTGCCGTGCTCATCAGTAATCACGAAATCAATACCGAAGAACGGCTTCGCGCACGAACCTGGCTTCATGGGAGTGGCACCTGGAAGGCCCACACCAATGTGCCCTCCAGTCTCCGTTTGCCAGTACGTGTCGGTGATGTAGCATTGGCGATTACCGACAACTTCGTAATACCATTTCCACGCCTCTGGGTTGATTGGCTCGCCAACACTGCCCAGGACCTTCAGGCTAGACAGATCATAGTTCGCAATCTTGTCATTGCCGCGGGCCATTAACGCACGGATGGCCGTCGGAGCAGTGTAGAACTTGGTCACCTTGTGGCGCTGAATCAGGTCCCAATACCGACCGTGATCCGGGTACATTGGCGTGCTCTCGAACATCACAGTCGTCACGCCATTGGCAAGGGGACCGTAGATGATATAGCTGTGGCCCGTGATCCAGCCCGCGTCCGCGACACACGCGTGCACATCGTCTGGCTGTAGGTCAAAGGTGTATTTACAAGTGATCATTGCATAGAGCAAGTACCCTGCCGTCGTGTGAGCAATACCTTTGGGAGAACCTGTTGACCCCGATGTGTACAGGATGAACATCAGGTCCTCTGAGTCCATACACTCGGCAGGACAATACGGACGATGACGCTGCATCTCGTTGTCCATGTCAATGTCAATCCTTGCGTTCATCTTCACTTCTGGATTCCGCGTGCGTTTGAAGACAAACACGTTGCGAACAAACTCGAGACCATCCACTGCAACATCAACAATCTGCTTGAGAGGTAGCGTGCGGCCGCCACGCTTGCCCTCGTCGGAAGTGAAGACCCATTGGGTGGAAGCATCAATGAGGCGGTCGCGCAGAGCTTCGGCCGAGAAGCCGGCAAACACGACACTGTGCACAGCTCCGATACGAGTGCAAGCCAGCATGACAAAGGCAATTTCAGGGATCATGGGCATGTAGATAGCGACCGTGTCGCCCTTCTTGACCCCTGCATGTTTCATGGCATTGGCGACCCGGCACGTCTCTTCCAGTAGCTCAGCGTACGTGATCTTGCGGCCCTGGCCAACCTCATCGGCTTCCCAGATAATCGCCACCTTGTCTGCGTGTGTCTTGACGTGGCGGTCAATGCAGTTGACACTCACGTTCGTCTGACCGTTGAGAAACCAAGCCATGTCGCCCTTGCCGATCGCGCCCGTGACGGTCTGATCAAAGTCTCGAAACCAGTCCAAGTTCGCTCGAGCGAGCTCCCCCCAGAACTGCTCAGGGTCTTCGATCGAACGCGTGTACATGGCCTCGTATTGCTCCATGCTCTGCACGTGCGCGGTCTTGAGCTGAGGACGAATGGGGGCATACACTTCGCCCCCGCAGGCGTTTGTGGAGTTGAGCATGATCGACTGGGGGCTCATGTGAGGACGGATACACACGAGGAGTGAGTGAGTGAGTGACCTGACCAATGTGCTCGTGGAAGCAACTGCGAGAATGAGCACGGACGGACGTGCTGGGCAGTACTATCCTATTACGGGTACACTCTTGATGTCAATGGATGGAATAGGGCGGTTTCGTCAGTCTCACTTTGCAGGCGCACGCTCGACCACTGAGCGTGCCACGTGTGACGGTTAAGCTGATTTGGATCCACGGGATACGCAAAAGCTGTCTGGATAAGACACGAGAAGCGAAGAGAGTGCGCTTGACGCTGTATGCACAACATCGTGCGTGTTGTAATACCGGTTGATGGAGGAGAGACGACGCGACTTGGCCGTTCCAGCGATGGCATCCATCCCCCTTTCTTTCTTTCGCTACCGCGTGGTCGCGTTTCGCTTGAAACGCAAGGGCGGCACTTGCGTCCCACGTACTCCCCCGTGGGCTTTGTCGCTCTCGGCCTTTTTCTCCTCAGCAAAGGCGCGAAGCGCCGCCCGTGATTGTCCAGCGCAATTGCGGGATCTCGCACCGGCAGTTGCTGACTGTGCACCGGTTGGTCTCTTCCTACGTGCTGTAACGAATTGCATGGTGGGAAAGTTGTTTGGGGGAGTACGGACCAGAATGGAGCCGTTGCGACTGCTCACGTCGCTCGATGTACCTAGAGGTTACACGCGGGTGGACGTGCCATGCGTGAACTCTCTGGTAACAAGACGCAAGACGCGCGACGACTCACTAATGCCACGACGTTACTGTATCTGCAGCCGCTGCCTCCGCCCAAAGCGTCTCTTGCAGTGCTACAATATGTTTCGCTCTGTCGAAAGCGGGACACAAGTTGAAGCTGGTGGGGGACTCACGAACTGAACGTGCGTGTACAGCTGTCGGTCATTCTGCTCGACAGCGGCTGCGCACTGACTGTACATGAACCCTCTGCGCGTCCATCGAGCTCTCTGTCTAGTTGCTCTACGTGCTTAGAATCGAGAGGCGGCCGTCAAAAGCCCCGTGATGAACTCTCTATTTTGGTGTCAAGTCGACCAAACCAAACACCTGACCGTCCATAGTGTCGCCATTTGCAGACGTATGTTTGACGTTCTTCAGTTGGCTTGAAGACGATACATGAATGGCATGGAGCAATACGCGGTCATGTACACGCGTTCGATCGAAGACCCTGAGCAGTTCTGGGGGGAGCTCGCTCGAGCGAACTTGGACTGGTTCCGAGACTTTGATCAGACCGTCACGGGCGCGATCGGCAAGGGCGACATGGCTTGGTTTCTCAACGGTCAGACGAACGTGAGTGTCAACTGCATTGACCGCCACGTCAAGACACACGCAGACAAGGTGGCGATTATCTGGGAAGCCGATGAGGTTGGCCAGGGCCGCAAGATCACGTACGCTGAGCTACTGGAAGAGACGTGCCGGGTCGCCAATGCCATGAAACATGCAGGGGTCAAGAAGGGCGACACGGTCGCTATCTACATGCCCATGATCCCTGAAATTGCCTTTGTCATGCTGGCTTGCACTCGTATCGGAGCTGTGCACAGTGCAACGACCTGATCTTCCCCTGTCGCGTATCGTGGCGTACTCACTTGGCAGTTTCTTTGATCTGTAGAAGCCGTCGTATTGTATAGCGATAGCAATCAATCAAAATGAAGGGCTTGAGAAGAAGCGAAGCAAAACTAGTACATGTGTCTTGCGCTCGTCCACTCGTTCTCGCGGGGTGTGTGTGTGTGCCTGTGGTAAGCACTGACTGCGATAATGGCCGATTGAAGAGGACATTGCGGTGCTTCAAAACGAGCGTCAAGCACGCGAAAGGTGCGACAAAGTGCACAGTGCTGTCGAAATGGTCGTTGGGATACCAATGGACAGTCTACATACAAGACGCAATCTGCATTCGCGAGACGCGTAGATGGAAAGCCAGCAATCGAACATCTCTGTCCAGGTGAGTACAACTTCGTGTAATCGTTGCTGACCGTGGCGCGACTGAGGACGACGTTGTTGACGACCAATGACGCAGCCGGGATGATTGACGACTGCGCAGAGCTAACGGTAGTCAATGCTTGAGTAGTATAGCCCAACACTTCGGTGGTCAGGCAGCGGCTTTGTCGTCATTACTGTCTGTAACAAGGTCGAAGAACTTGAGGCTTCGGTTGATAGCACGTTCACAATACTTTGTGGTGTTGTCGTGCAGGTACAGGCTCTTCACTTCGCTGGCGGTGCAGCTGAAGCAGATTTGCGACTCAGCTGATCGTACAGGTCGGCGATCTATGACAAAAGCACACCATAGGCCGAGGGCATTCGAGTCAGACATGACCCCTTCTCGCTTGTCGTCTACAAAGCTCTACGCTCGTCCTTCGAGCTGCACCCTAAACAACAAACAGCGAAAGCCGACCCACCTGCGAAATAAACTGCTTCTGCTCTTTCAACAGTTGTGCGGTCGTGTCGACTCCGGTGGGGCGAACGCCGCGTCCCCGCCGGTTGGCCACCAACGCCGCCGCAATCTTCTTCGCGTTGTTGTCCACGCATTCGATGAGCTCCTGCACGCGCTGCACCTCATCAGGCACGGCGTCGCCACGTCGTAGTAACGCATTCAGCACGGTACGGCTTCCGGTAACATACTGCTCCGGCGGTCCCGCAGTTGTAGCAGAAGTAACAGCAGTGGCGTCCACCATAAATAACGATAACGATGGGAGCAATGATGATGTGAACGACGAAGACTTTCCACGAATGAGGTTTTATTATCGAAAAAATCGGATAATCCGCAGATATTCATATAAAAGGCAGGACAACCTGAGAAAATAACAGCAGGCACTCAATAATCAAAATTTCGAATCATGCACCACCAGATGTCCAAAACAGATGGCACCAAATAAGCAAACATCAAACACAATGCACCAGTGATTTCGAAAACGTACGACCGAATAAAACGGATGCCTGGGATCAATCATACATACCCACGCACCCTTCGTCATTCTCGTTCATAATTCAGCGATCAGAAGCCACTTTTCGGTACACATGGTGTAGAAATCGTAAAGGTGAATGAACGCTCAAATGCGATCGAAATGGTATTATTTATTATAGATCATAGGGTCACGTTGCTTTTGTACTAAAGCTCCTTCAGCTAGCTTTACAAAATGACATTGTAAAAAGTGTAAGCTGTCGGTTTTGCGGTATCATTTGATCTCGTGAGATAAAACACTTCCATGTTAAAGTTAATGAGTGTGTGATAGGAGTTTCAAATTCAAAGGTACAGCCCGAGGCGGTCTGATATGACGGATCGATAGACAACACCAACTCGGACAGGCTTTGATAAGGTAACATAATTCAATTTATCACTTTTGCAGGTGATGACATCGATGCTTGCCATCGCATATAGTAATTTGCGTGTTGAACAGCAAGCTATGCTGCTGGAATGTACAGGCCGCCACAAAAAAGAAGCCGCCGGGTAAAATAATGCGGCTTGTGCTTCTTTCCGTATTTATGTATAAATTCTGTCCAGATAGACGCGATGTGTTACCTGCCATAAGAAATCGGCACAAAATGTTAGCAATCAGGCCCATTCGGTCAACATCGAACAAGTAGCTCAATATCTAGCTCTTCATAAACAATAAAAATATCAACATGGTCGCGTTACCTGTCTTTGCACTATACAAGAATGCTCGAGAGATAATTCATATATATTGTGTGCCAAAGATACGAGGTTGTCGACGATACATCCAAACTTTAACAAATTGCCAATCGATGAAAGGCAGATTCGTCAAAACATTACTTCCGAAAGCGCTTTGTACAACATTAATGAGCGACATATTCGTAACGACTTAAGAACATTTAAGTTGACCACGTATTTCTCGCAGGTTCAATCAGTTTGAATAGTATGCACCCGCGAATTAGTCGTTGCACTCCTGAAGTTTCAGGTGCATGTTTTTCTTCGTTTATACCATGCATTTTATATTAAATAATTTTTAACATTATTTTCTCGAGTATTTGATGCATCATGTATCCTGTAATTTGACCACATCTTTGCTACGGACTAAATTCTTATGGTGCACCCTGTATGCGCCTGCCGTGTGTTTATTCCGCCAACGAAAGCATACATTATTCAATTTATCCTTTGTCAAAACTTAAATCAGAAGTCCGGGACTGGGCCATTCATTGATTATGGTTCCCCGCTCCAATGATGGTCATATTGTTCACATTACATACTGCTATTGTACAAGTGAGGTAGTGAATTAAGATGCACCTATCGATTCAGGCAACAATACAGAATAATCCGAAAATTGATTATTTCATTAAATTATCCATGTAAGAAAGAAGTCTTGATGCATGTAGGTCAACATTACGGACGCGAATATGAATTTACAGAAGGGAATCGCTATTTCCACCACACCTATTGCAAACTCAAACACACCACACTTTTTGCTATTTGCGCCACACTTTTATTAAGGTCCGCCACATCACAGGTTACAAGTTCCACCGCACCATCACTTTTCTTTACTTACAACAGCATCACAACACCACACCATCTAAACACACCACTGCACCATCTTACCACACCACCACATTATGGCCAAACTCAACACATAAGCCGTCTTTGCGAATCTAGACGCGCTTATAGATCATTTCAAGGAGTTTAAATTGGTGGTAGGTTCCACCTCCACAATAAACGATCCGACCATCCGCGCACCCATCCGCGTCTAACTAGGTTGTGACCTCGGCGTCTCATTTCAATAGCGAAAGTCAGTTCTTGTGAGATAAATTTCCGACGCACCTTTGCTAAAGTAGTCAAACGGGTTGCAGAAACCGACTCAGTACGCTTTTTGTACAGATGATGACAATGAGGCGTAATCGCACGACTTAATGAAACGCGTACGGGTCCGACGGTCCAACGGACGCCACTTGACATTCCATCGACATTTAAGCGTATGAACACTTCGCAAATGGCAAATAAGCGGCTAAATCTTTGCACAGCTGATAGTGGTGACTTCGGTGACGTCATGTACACAGCCCGTCTGCCTGCTACGCGTGGCTACCAGGTCTATCTGGTCTAGGTATAATTAAGCGCTCCGCTTCAATGTCGGCAACACGTGGCAGTACTCGCTTTGTGCTTTGCTTGGATCACCTCGATCACCTCGCGCAGCGCTTAGCTCTTCCAATACTCCAGTGACTATGTGCAGTGCTCAGCTTTATTTGAAAGTGACAACGTCTCCATCCACAGACATGCATGTTCCGTGACAGTATTTGGACAAATGCTGATCAATCCGAACTTTTGGTTTCCAATAAGTATACATCAGCAACGACAAGAAGATCAGTTGAGAAGCTCCATCACGTACGATCGATCGACTTCGTATCCTACCAGCATCATTGCTAGCATGCTTTGTGCTCACGTTGCGACTACGTGAACATAACAATTCGAAGCACATAGCAGCAACGGCTCTTATCCGCTGCGTACTGTGATGTAAGAATGAAAGGGCAGTCAAGTACTTTGATACTCTATCATGAACCAATGAAGGAGTGCTCTAGGTCTTTACTTCTATACCGATGTGATCGAGCGATTCTTCGTTAGCTACACCTTGGCAAGTACATGGAAGACAGCGCCACATTGGCAAACGCAAGATTGTGTCCTTGCTCACTATTGCTGGCTGATGCAGTTAATTAAGTAATTTTGGCTACCCCGGTCGCTAGTGTACATGTTCCAATGCTATTTCCATAAGTATAAGTATAAGCTTGGTGTTTAAACTAACGAAAAGTTGTATGGTTACACGGTACTCAGGTATGTATCGACCGTTTAAGTACATTGGCTCGCATTGCGAATTTGCTAATTTTTCATCGATGGTGAAGGTAAAGCTAAGATGTTTGGCGATCGCCAACAAAGATCGCCAGAAACAATTACTCTGCTAGAAATTTGAGCTTCGCTAGACATTCTTTAAATTCAATACATCAGGTGCTAAGCACGCAATCCGACATGTATACAGCGGATCGCTACAGACAGATGGTCAAATTGAGTAAGTGAAATATGTTATCACTATGTTTTCGTATTATTCGCGGCTGCGGATAATCGTTGAAGCTACCCCATTCTTCCTCTCGGTAGGATTGCGATTAATAACGCCAAACTTGCCTCTATTGACTTTATATAATTTACTGTGAACGGCCTCGCATACACTCGCGTCCCGTTAACGCTACTACTGCATGGTTCTGGGATTAGCGGGGGGGGGCGATGGCCATCGGGGCGCTTTGTCGGTCCTATTACTAATTTAGAAAACACGCTTGGACATTCTTGCAATGAGATTTAATGTCTTACGACATGTGCGTGATTCGATCGATTACAGTACATATCGGAGATTCGACATACTGATGCAAAAGGAAAAAGCTATACTAATACTGAAGAGATCAGACACCAAGTCTTGATATATACTAAAAAGCTACTTACAGATGTTTGTCCTCCTTATTAAGACGTAGTTGAGCCCGCACCCTGTATCATACCATTTGCGGTCATGTCGAGAAAGACCTTGCTCGCACGATCAAACTTTTGCGCAATTGTCATACAAGAAAAAAAATACGTTGTGTTACTTGAGCCGTATCATAACCCTAGTTGTGGACAATGTAATACTGTAGGTAGCTAAAAGAATGGTCATACAACGGATTGCTCCATCCGCATCAAAAAATCATCTTTACCCTGTCCATGCAATCAGTCAGTCAGTAACCAAAGACAAGCTTTCCACTCGCAAAACAAGATATTGCACCTCGTATGTTCGTTTGTCAATCGCTCGATGTCGGCATGAGATACCACCCACATTTTGGCCTTCACGTGAACAGCTCAACGAGAAAGGACCCCACCTGTTTCATGTGGTTGATACTTCACGTGACGATGACGCGGTCAATGTAACTATCATTCAGTGAGTTAACGCGAAGATCCTGTGCCTAAAAACTCGTGGTGAAGATATTACACTGTGGTCAGACGGAGTCACTTACGACGGCTGTGCTGGAAAATCACAAGCTACAGCATACACGGACGCGGACTAGGGCAGTAATATTGACGCCGACGCTTAGTGTAGGGGACGAAGGTGATGACTGGTGGCGCATTAGTCATCTCCTAGCCGAAGCATCAGCATACGATGGCTCTGATCTCGATAGGGACGATATGCATGGTACTAGCCTTGTGTTAACATGAAGTACAACGGTTTCGTGCGATGCGTAAGGATCTGAGTCATGAGCAAGTGGAAGTTACGTTGGCCTGGAATTAAAATCAAGGCGCAATTGGACTTGTCAGCAATGTATACTGCAACGCCAGGACCAAGCACGTCGACATTCGTCATCACTTTATCCGAGATAGCGTGTCCCCAGAAATTATCGCTGTGGAAGAACATGTCGATAGTGAAGTAGTCGGTAGATATGTTGACAAAGGCACAAGCACCCAAACGACTTAATCCTGCTGCAGACACATGACATCGGATCCAAGCACGTACAGCGGTGAGTGGCAATGTTGGAGGAGCTGCAGTGGCTTTATTCTGCAGATAGGGTACATTACAGACGATAGGGTTGGACTCTTCACGTCGATAGATGAAAGCTGGTGAAAGAAATGCAGAAAGGAATCCAGTGGAGTTGGCATACATGTTGAAGGTTCGGACCAATAAGGTTACGAACAGAGCTCCCAATATAAACAACGTAGTTTTATCTGCATAACAAGTACGATTTCAACGGCCAGGCTATGTGCTTACAAAGTCTTTTGTGGATCCAGGAGGTGGAATGCTTTCTCTATCGACGGAGGTTGATCACTACAACGACGAGACGACCTTATTGTTCATGTCGATAGAGCTGGTGCAAGTTTTACCAGCTGCTAATGACTCGATACCGTAAAAAAGTTGGGTGCGACCGATTACCGTTGCAGTACGCTAATGAATAAAGAACCCCCTTATTTCTTCAAAAGGCCAATGACTTTATTTTGACACCCTTATAACGCCACAAGCTCGACCAAGCCATCCGCTATGTTGGCCGCCTCTGCGAAGCGGCGTCGCGCCTCAAGCAGCGGTGACAAGTACCCACCGGCAGCTCACGACTTCCGATCGGTATCCACGAAGTCGCTTCTTTGCTCGGCCGAACGCGACTTATATCAGCCGAGCGTGCCGCCCAATACGCCATTGAACGAGTGTCCGGGCCAATATGTCGCATTTGAAAGACAGATACAGACGACGCAAGACTTCGACGCCAAGTGTCAAAAATTAGCCCGGTTAATTGCTAATTCTCGACACTTGGTAGCTTTTACTGGTGCTGGTATCAGTACGTCCGTGGGCATTCCAGACTATCGCGGGGAGCACGGAATCCGTACCAAGCACGTTGGTCGAGCAAAGCAGAAGCGACAAAAGACAGACGAAAGGAACAGACAAATGCATAAAAGCACACGGGATGACGACGACGACGCCGGTGAAGTTGAAGTTGAGGCTGTAAACGCTCCAATACCGGATTTCAACCTCTTGGTGCCGTCCACGACCCACATGGCGTTGTACGAACTGCATCGATTGGGCTTTCTGAAGCACATTGTGTCTCAGAATGTCGACAACTTGCACATAAAAAGTGGCGTGCCCGTCGACGCGTTGACGGAAGTGCACGGAAATGCAACACAGGCCAAATGCGAGACATGTGAGAAGGTTTATGTGAAGGAGTTTCCGTGGACGGGACTCTGTACTGATTCGAAGTGTGTGAGCACCAAAAGGCCAATGACGCAGCGACTGAGGGCACGAACGCGACATGGCAACGGCAGGTTGAAAAGAAATGTCGTGGGGTTTGACGAGCCGTTAGGCGATATTGACACGGCCATCGATGAGTGTGAAGCTGCCGATGTGGCTTTGGTACTAGGGACTTCGTTGCGCGTGGAGCCCTTTTCGGAGATGGCTGGTGAGTATGCAGGCTCGCTATGTATCGTCAATTTGCAACCGACTATGCCAAAGCTGGACCGTCGTGCTGAGGAAACAGGTGTGCGGCTGTTTGAGAAGACGGATGTGGTGATGGAGAAGACGATGCAATTTTTACTGAACGACTCTGCGTACCGCATTCCAAAGTGGACTGGCGAGCACTCGACTTGTGTGTTCGTTCCGGAACATGAGAGCTCAAATCTCGTCAACGTTCTCGCTGGCCGGGTTCTCACCTGACGTCGAGGATAGTGTCCGGCTGTTAATTTAAACGTGAGATTCTTTCTTGCATTTGCACAGGTGTGTGCGGTGGTGACCATTATCTAAATCGAAACACGGGGTGAATAGATCGATATCCTATGTGTTCGGTGTTTCCTGCTATAATCTCTACGCCTCATTCATGAGCGCCGTAATTTCTTTATAGTCGGCGATAAGCGCATCCAGTTCATCCGAATACTTGGTGGTGATGATAATGTCTTCCGTCGGGGCAGCTATATCTGACGCCTTCTTCAAACAAATTTTATACTGTGGGTAGCTGCCGCCGCAGTACGCGAGGTCCGCGTATTCGCAGAAACTCAGCATGGAGCCATCACGGCCGAGAATGTGCATGCCGTAACCGTTCACAGCGACGACAAAATAGTTCGGTAGCTCGATGCCCAAACAATGATTGAGTCCGTTGGCAGAGCCATCGCGCTTCGACCCACGGTTCACCAACTTGGAGGGAAAGAAGCTCGCACCGTACAACCGGTGGCGCATCACTTCTTCGATGTAGATGCGCTGCATCTCGCTAACAGGAAATAGAGCGTCCTGCTCGTCGAGGAAATTGTCCGTGATCGCATCGAGCACGAGCTCTGCCCATTCCTCTTCATCGTGCGCGGGCTGCCATTCCTGTGGAAGGTAGTCCAAGACACCCATTCCCAGCATTTCTTCCACCGAATCGGGCGGAACTTCTTCGCAGTCCACGGCGATAGCCAGTGCCGTAAGCCGGAGCAAGGATTGCTCCTCCAGCACTGGTAAGTTTCCTCGAACAATTTCGTCCTGCACCTGGATGTACACGAGACGATCGTACATCTCATCCGAGTACTGCAGCATATATACGGGGTTCAGTCGGATCTTGAGCACGAACCGTACATCGCGTCCACGGATCAATTCTTTCTCAAAAATATCGCCAAGGTACATACTAGCGTTCAAGAATGAGGAAGCAGCGATGAATTTGTGGAAGTAGCTCAATGGGAGAGACGAAGAGGAAGCCGACGCATTTGACACACTAGCAGCGAGTGCTGGCGATGATGGTACTTCTTTGCCGTCGTTGTCATCAGCAGCTGGATCGTTGTTGTCCACATTGGCCGCTGCAAACGAACTGGTCGTCGACATAGCAACAAAGCTTGATGAGCCATTTTTGCCATGAACAGCGCGTTCAGATATCACTGTGAGGCCCAAGAAGTTGACAACGTGATCTTCTAGACCGAGGAAATGGGAGCAAATCTCGATGAGTTGGGCCACGGTGAACTCTGGTGTGACCGGGAAGGCGTCCGCTAACGGAGTGCCATCCAGCAACTGAATTGTTGCAAGAAAAGGCGGCCGCGCTTCGTAGCCACGAATCTCGTCAATGCTGGGAATAAAACCCGTTGCCCCGTTCGCCAGTAGGTGCTCCAACTTTTTTAGCGAATAGGCCGCAAAATTGCGCACAAGTCGCCAGAAACTATTGGATTCGGCGATCTGTGCCTTCAAGAACATCAACACATACTTCTGAAGTGCCAGTGATGGCGGAAAAGAAGTCGTGCACATAGCAAAAAGCGACCAACCGCGAATGCTGCTGTCTCGTTTCGGATTCTTCGTCAGCTGCTTCATCAGTTGCAGGTAGATTTCGTCCACGAGACAAGGCTTCACGAGCCCGATCTGGAGGATATAATGCGCAAGCATTTCACGGTAAAATACGATGCGATCACGCATGTACCCTAGAATGCACCGATTTATCGAAAGTGCCATTTTCCCTGCAGATGCAGACTGAGATGCAACCTCGTCCGGGTTGTCATCAAGCACGGACAAGCTCCGCGAGATAGCACGACTCTCCCAGCATAGTTTATTGGCAAGAACGCGTTCCGACTGAGCGTTAAAACCACGCAGGTTATCGAAATGGCAAAATGCCAATGCATCCTTTTCCACACCTCGTTTGTTGTCTCGTGAGTTGTTGACGCTCTCATCTTCGCCAGAAGCACCTGGCCACTCCATTGTACCGCAGCGTGGACTCTCACCGTCGCCTTGAATGCTGCTACATGAACTGTCGTTACAAGTTAGAGAACCATTCCCATTTAACTGTAAACGGTCACCGGTGACCACAGATCTTCTTCGTACTTTCACCATCTTGTTTTCAGCTTTCACCAGTAGGCGTTCATGTACGCCGGCTTCTCTTGCAGCTTGAATACTAAGCTCCAGCGCTCCTATGGACGCTTCATCTGTGGAAAGCGCCACGGTCGATTCCAAGCGAGCAGCAGCGGCAACGCGGGTCTCCAAACTCTGTTGCATCTTGCTTGCTATCTCGAGCACACGTTTGCGTTCAGCGTCATCGTATATAATCCCGTTTTCACCATTCAGCGAACTCGAGAATTCATCAATCTCAGCAGATAGAAGTTGCACAGCGTCTTCGCGAATTTCGGCGTTTGCCTCTACTCGCCGAGTCAAAAACTGAATAGTCGCGTGCAGTCCATCCTGGGCAGAAGTCCCATCGGCGGCATTTTCACTGTCCTTCGTATTTTGAAGTAGCGAGTATCTGTCAAACAACGCAGCAAACAGCGGCGAGCAGAATCCTGTACTAATGGACCTCCCTAATTCGTGTTCTACGACCTTAGGGTCTTCTGCATTAAGTGCATGACTTAGAGCATCTTCGACGCTAGCCACTTGCTGCAATCGAGCTATCTTGGCTTCATATGCAGCTTCCAAACACGCTGGAATAGAGGGTCGTACATGGTCCAAATCGCCAACATGACGAGCCTCCCAAATCAGCAGGAACGCTTCAATTGATGCTAACCCCAGCGCATCCTTCTCTTTCTTTGCAAGGATGCTCGCCTTCGGAGATGAGATTTTTGATACTGCAACAGGAGCTGGAGTAGGCGTGTCTTCCGAGGCAGCAGTAGCCGCAAGCAACCTGTCTCGCTCACGCTCAGCGTTTTTTAGATTGAAGTCCCACTTCGCTAAACCAACTTCCACTGCAACTTCGATCGCTTCCGATAGTAGCTCAATATCTTGTGAGATCTTTGCTACTGCCAGGAATTTCACTATTTGCTTCCGCTCGGTATGGGCATTTGCAGAAACGACTTGGGTTTCAATCAGACGCTCAGCATCCGACGTTCTAGGGTCCCCATCAGGAACACCAAGCAACTTCAATCGGGCCAACACCTTCTCCACCGCAATAACGTTTTCATCATCCAGAGCCTTATGAAGAGCAGCAAATAGATTTGTTATGGTCGTGGAACCGGATGCTGTTTCTTCCTCCACCTTTACCTCAACCTCCTCTTCTTTCTCGTCCACCTCCACGTCTTCAGCAGCATTATCGGTGTCAGTAGAAACCGCACGGAGAGTGTCAACGAGGGCTGGCAGCTTGGCCTCAACACCTAGCCTCAACGCTTTGGCTGCGGGTCCCAGTAACTTGTTCAAAACAACAGAACCATCATCACTTGTCACAACGGACGAGAGAGCGTGCGTCACAGCCTCCGTCACACTCTTCTCCTCAAGAGCCCGGATGATCATCATGGTAGCAAGTTTCCTTTCCAACGACTCCACTGAGGGCTCATCTAACGTAGCCAGATACCCCATTAGTGCTTCTGGGTCATTAGCAATCATTGACGATCGGAGCTTCTTGTTGACCGCTGCAATTCTCTCTGCCTTTTGTTTCTGGAGTTCTACAATGCTTTTGCTTTTCCTGCGCAAATGGTCTACAGCTAGCCACGGGGAGTTCTTTTCGGCGACTCGTACGGCATACTCCATCAACGCGGGGTGTCCGATTCGAGTGGCATCTGCGATAATGGATTTCACATATTCCTCCTCATCCAGACGTGTGATAAGCTCCCGAGCTTCGTTTAGCGCGCGAATGCCCTCTGACGCACGGTTCCCTACAATTTGTTTACAGTTTGCAAGATGCTGAATGATATCGTTCTGATCACGCTGAGCGATGGCTTCACGCAAACCCCGCATAACGTACAGTAGTCGCGCAGACTTTTTGCGAAATCCGCCACGAAGCATGTTTCGCTGGATCATTGTCGCGCACGCATTTAAATACAAAAAACGAGCCTTTTCCAGTTTTTTCCATTGGTGACTGGTCAAATACACCTTGGTCGTCCCAACCACAAATTTTTCTTCTTCCAATACACCAATAGCGGACAACGAACGCAAGAGCGACTCCAAGGTACCACGGTGACCACACACGTTTTTGTATCGCCTAAAAAAATGACCATAAGTTAAGCGCACAGTAAAAACAAAGCGACTCGCTTGCATCAGCTCTACCAGGTGGTTATCGCGGATTTGTCTCATCACATAGGCGGAGTCAAACACCCCTTCTTTGAGCTCCTCGTTTGGCTTCACGCAAACAAGAAAGTTTTTGCCAGTGTGATTCAGCGCATGCAGCAGGGCATCTGCTTGATTGCTTATATTTGTCGCTGAACTTTCACCCGCAACTTTGGACTCTTTTGCTGAGCTGATTGAGTTTCGAAACTTAGACGAAGTGCTCCCTCGCTGGGCAGCTTGTTTTGACGCCTTTTCGGCGGAAGCCGCAGCCATTTGAGCCGCGCCGACAGCGTGTAGGACAGCATTCTTTGATGACTGCATTATTGCTGCACACGTCGACGATATGCTGAGAGCATTCTTGGCAGAGAGCCCTTTCCCAGTGTATGTAACCTTGCCACAGTGATGCTGGACGATGAACAGCAGACGCCAGTCTTTCGAAGGTGCCAAGTAGTTGTTCGTTGTATGAGCGCCCATATTCGGCCGTGACAACCCACCCAAACCTTCATTACCAGAAAACAGTTTGTTCACGAATTCCTCATCATTCGGAGATCGCACCGTTGCGTTTTCGGTCAACAGCTCGAAAAGTCCATAGGGCTTGTCCTCGAACAACGAAAGACACTTTTCCTGCTCAGAGGTTATTTCCACGTTAGAATGCGCAGCCAGTCGGTTCTCCACTTGTTGCGACTCATCTTCGAGGTCCGACAAACTTATTGACAGCGTGTTTTGTACGTAAAAGTGATGCACCTTTTCACTCCAGTAGTTGAAGCACAATTGATCAAAGCTGTTTTGTGACGGCTCCAGATTCTCAAAGCCAACCATGTCCAGCACGTGAACGCCTTGTGAGTTGATCACGATGTTCGATTTTTCGTAGCGGTCGAAGATGCCACCCAAAATGCCGTTCAGTGTATCAACGAGGAAATTAAACAGCGATTCGTATAAACTTCGAATGAAAGTGTCACGTGCTCTACGTGCTTGATGGACGGTCACCACCTTCAACGACGACACTGTTTTACTACCGTCCTTCGAGAAGAACTGGCGCGTGCGGAAATAATTGTCCAAAACCACAGGCTCTACCTCCAGGAGCTTTGCAGCGAGTAGAATCTGGGCTGGATCCTTCAAAGCACACGAATGGGCGTCACTTACTGTCGTACAATTCACACTGCTTAGAGACTTGCCGCCCTCGGGATCAGAAGCAAAGTCCACATTTCCAAGGTGCAACAACGCTGCCACAATGCGCACAATCTCTACACGTTGGTTCTTGCGAATGCGCAGAGCTGAAAAGCTGGACATGAGGTCTCGGTAGTCGCGAGCATCGAAAACAAAGTTCGTGAGATCAGAGTCCGTTCGCTTTAGTAAATCAAATTCATCCATGCCCTTATTCAGTTCCAGCAAATCACGAAGCGTAGGGTCGTGTTGCACACCAGCTAATATCTGATAGAAAATGTGGAAGTTGCGCTCGTGGCTCTTGCAGTCAACAATGCGTGACTTCTCAAAGTAATGGGTCGTGAAACCACCTCCGATCACGTAGCCGTGCTTACTAAACTCAACTGATATCATCTTGGCAAAACGCGAAGAGTTTGGGTTCAAAGGTGTAGCAGCGTTCCCAAAAGCCTCCAATATCGTAAACGCATGCAGGATCTGCTGACCAACCGGATGTAGCGCATTGGAATCGCTTTCCGAATCCTTTCGTGAAAGTGCGCTATCCCCAATCTCGCACAAATACTGCACAATCAGTTTTGCCGCCTCTGACTTTCCAGCACCCATGCCACCGAGTAAAATCACAGCTTGGTCTTCTCCTGCATCCTGCATACAACGCAGCGCATTCTGCGCAAGTGCAAACACATGAGGTGGGGCGTCATTCACCGTATCTTTCTCGTAAAACGGTGTCTGCTCTCTGCTTTTATTGTAAGCCTGCATGTGATCCGGCGTGTAAATCGGCAACGGGACTACGGGGTTCACTCCTACCAGGACTCGGTCGACCCACGTATACACCTGCTCCATGCGATACCTTGCGCGCAACGTATACAGCACGACATTCTCCAGCTGTTCGGACGTGAATGTCTCGGTCCGTCCTGTATCGCCCTGTACGACGACACAAAATACAAAAGACGGCAGAAGCAACAGGAGCAAACAAACGATTATTGTAAGCACAAATGGCCAAACAGACCCTCCTGAACAAACAAAGGTACGCACGTTTGTCGACATGAGCGGCACTGTACTCAAGTCATGCAGCTCGACTGCTAGCAGCTGTTTCGGGTGATGGCAAGCGGGTAACCTCACGACCGGTCGGTCACGGAGAGCACGTTCCTCGCCGTCCTCCGTGTGAACGACCGTCACTTGCTGCTCCTGCTCCAGCTCGTTGTCAAAAACAAACCCCACGCGCACGATGACGGCTGACGTGCAGACGCCGCTCTCGTCGCAGACCCATACAAAATCGCCTTCTTCGGTCGTGGAAGGGCTTTTGCTGCTGTGGATGCTGCTCGCTCCGTCTGCAGACGGTGCACTTGATAGTGAAGAAGCGTGGGGAGACTTCCGGTCGTCGCTGCTGGGGCAGAAGCTGTCGGGGCGCTGCTTGTCGTTGGTGCGGGGCGCGTCTACCGCACTCATGCTCCGACTTGTCGCGCTTTGGAAGTTGGTGCTTGGCCCGCCTCGAGGCCGCTGATTGGATAAAATGAAGATCGCTCGCGACATCGAGAACGGAAGAGGTGCGCCCGGACAACAGCTGGTGCGGCGCTGTGTCACAAAACTGGTGTATAGAGGAAATAGAGCCGTGTGGTGACGTGCCAGCGTCGACAGCTGGGGCTTCGACCCAAGTGTCGCTCCCACTGATTCGTCGAAAAGCGCTCCTGACATTCCAGCGAATAAGCAGCCGCGACAGACGACGAGTCCGCCGCGTCACTTGCGTCCGCGCGCTGGATCTCCGTCCCGTCCTTAGTTTACTACGCCCCACCCACCCCACCCCCGGCCACCCATTCTTCTACTAGTTTCGAACACGCATCGTTCTTCCACGTGGTTGAACATGGCCACCGCTATCCAGACGCCGGAGGAGTTCCACGCGGCCATCGGCGAGAAGCAGCTGACGGTTGTGCAGTTTTCGGCACCGTGGTGCGGCGGGTGCAAGATGGTGGCGCCCAAGGTCGCTAAGCTAATGGAGTCCGAGTTCCCCCAGGTCAAGTTCCTCAAAGTGAGCGCAGAAGAACTGGAAGAGTTCTGCGAAGAGATTGGTGTCGACAGCTTTCCCACTTTTCGCGTGTACAAGAACGGTGACGTCGTGGCGTCGTACGTGAGCTCGAAGTTCGAGAAAGTGGAGGAGTTTATTCGTACCAACGCGCAATAAGCGCGGGTGTGGAGCAAAATAAAGATTCGCTTTTGCATGGTGCGTTTTGTAATCGAAGAGTAGATAGAACTGCGTGCAACTTGTGGCGGACAATCCGTGCACAGCCTTTATTGTCGAGCGCCACACACTGATGAACGTCGTCGCTGCATTGATTGCGTCCCTCAATGAGAACACTTCTTGCACCATTGTAAGATTTTTTTCAGTCAGAGGTTCATATGTCAAATTTTGCAAGAAGTGATAAAAAAACTGTTCATCCATAATAGTTGTAAGGGAAAATAAAAAAGATGCCCCATTTAATCACGAAGATAAAAAAATGTTCCAGATAATTGGAAAATAAAAAATGCCCCACGTCCTAGTTTGACGAATACGTTTAAGGCATCATCGCACGTTTCCTCCCTGATATAGGCCTGCATACGACGAAGCCTGCAGACACTGAAGCCATCAATAAGAGCTAAACAGAAAGGATCGATTCATTGGGGTCTATTGATATGATTATGTGTTTTTACGTATCAAAACTGTTAAGCAGGAAGGGAATGCAATCCCACAAGTAAAACAACATTATTAGCAACAGCAGCACCTACAACAACATCAGCAGCAGCAATAGCAGTGGTAGCATCAACAATAGATACTCAAACGCCAACAGCAACCGCATCACCTACAACAACAACAGCAGCAGCAGCAGCAGTAGCAGTTCGAACTTCAACTCACAAAGTGGGACTACCACCAAGGCCCCAGATCCTCAGAACATTCCTTGAGTTATTCATGACGCCTCAACGAGCGTCATGATTCACTGCATGCAGTTCATTAGAAGCACACACAATGCTTAAAACATCCTGGAATATTCCCTCACGGGAATGATACACGTTTTTCCTCACCAAAGTCGTCTGCCAACTGTTTCTGAGCCCAACACCTTTTCCCAGAGCTAAAAGGAGAAGGAAGTCATGGACGGGCCGGTCGGTGACGATGACGCACTCATGCCAGAGAGCCGTCTCGCACGATCCAGCCCTTCCTCATCAGAGAATTCCCTCATGAGTATTACATCAACGAGCTCCAAAGATAATCCACTCGCTCTCGCAACCCCGACAGCATTGACTGAAGTAGCGTCCCTGATGATGGTCCAAGCGCGTCTACTACATGACGTCGAGCTCGCATCCGTCCCTCAAATACGACAGCTGCTGATGGACGCAACAAATGCTGTCATCGAGGTAAGCGCCATGATTGCGACCTTTCCACTCGAAGTGCAAGCCTCGTTAGCCGATGATAACGAAGCCTCTGGAGAAGATGCCGCGTTAACGATCGTCACTGCAACCCATCACAGGTCGGCTTACTCACACATCACAATCAGGAGATACACCATCTTCTGCGAACTGTTCACAAGGAAGTCACAACAGTCCCCAATCAGCGAAATACACTTTAAGAGACAGCGACACAACTCGTCGAACGCGACTCATGATCAATACCGGACTCATCTGTGAGAGGCTCCGATGTGCTGGATACTTGGTCTGGTGGCTCCTCCCTCTCGGACACTGTCCCTATTGTGGTATGGGTGCCGATGGCACGATCAAAATCACTTTCGGCGTGGGACTGAGTAGAGCTTGTCATAGTATCCAATGTGTCGAGTGTATTGACGAGTTCACCAACGGCGGAAATGTCAATGCGGTCAACATTCTTGATGTTGGAACTGGTCAAGTACGTTTTGGTGCGGGGAAGATATAGATTGTAGCCATTGTTGACGGGGTCGATGCCAAGAATATACGCCTTTTCAGATCTTTTTCGAAGTGACTTTGCGGCAACATATATGTAGCCTCACAGTGCAGCGGGCACCAAACTTGAGTAAATGGCTGATGTTCGGTATTTTTTCTGTCAGTAATTCGAGAGGTGAGCGGCGGTCTGCATTACCGCGGGTGGATAGATAATTCCGCATCGTACTAGCGTAAAGTAAAGCGTCTCCCCAAAATTTTGTTGGCATGCCAAGATTACCAAAGCATCGCGCGAGTTGTATTGAACAGTGTGCGGCCGAAGCGCTCGATTTGCCGATTTGTACGGAAGTATCGTTTTCAGTTGTCTGGTGACTAAATCCATGGCGCTGCAAGTACTGCGCGGTCTTGTCATTTGCAAATTCACCACTGGAATCCGATCGAATGCATTTCACGCGTACACCAAATTGCGGTTGAAATCTTGCATGGAACGTAACGAAATTGTCAAAAGCTTCACTCTTTTTACTTTTGTAGAAAAACGCAGTTGTAGCTAGGTGCGTAGTTGACTATGGGGAGGACATGCCTGTGTCTTTTGCGATCAATCGGAGTGATATTAATCTTGAGATCTGGGCCTATAACGGCACCCATTTCATCTGTAGGTGCTGTTCTTGACGTGTCTTCCTTTACTTGGCGGTTGCGAGTATGCTTCGCTTTGGCACGCTGCACGCAAAAAGGCATGGTCCGATTCGTAAGTTTGATACCATCGGCTAGTCCCTTGCCAGCCATACAAACGACATCCTGGTAATTAAGATGAACGAGCCGTTCATGCCACTGCCGTAGAGTGGAGTTCTCAATACTGGCAAGAAATTCGGTAGCCTCATCAACTGTATCCGTTACAGCGGAAAGGGGCCAAAGTCTTGATTCGCGTGGGGCACGTGCAACAATACGATTACTGGTGGAGATGGTACAGTGACCAGAGAAAGAGACCAAAAAGTCATGATCAATTAGCTTGGAAGCGGAAAGTATTTTTTCGTGGCATGGTAGGGACGTAGTGAACATCTGTGAGTACAAATCTGGTGACCTTCCCATTGTTAATTTCATTGAGAAAGACACTGCCTTTGCTGGTGGCTTGGAGCACAGATCCGTTTGCGACTCGAACGCGTAAAGAGATGGGTGACGGATCAAGAATGGCAGCGGCATTATTCGTAAAGTAATGGTTAGCACCGCTGTCGATTAGCCACGACGTCGAGGCAGGACATTTATGTGCAGGTTTATGAATGACAACGCATGCATCACCACCAATAAATGCATTCGCATAAGGCATGTATATTAGATGTGTCAGGTCATCGCGCGCTTCGACCGATCCGAGAACTCCCCCCCCCGCTGTTTCTGATGTGTTGTCAGTGGTTCCATCAACCACATAAGCGTTGGCATTGGTAGGTAGAAACGGTATTGTCCATTGCTGTGGCAGCGTTGGCTTGCCCAGCTCGGCGTTGAGCGTCTTGAATAACGGGGCAGTCAAATGTTGTATGTTCCGTCGTCTTGCAAACCCAGCAGGGTTTTATGCCATCCCTTGGTTTGAAGCGAGTCGTAGAGTTGTTTGGTGCCAACTTAAGTTTGGGTGAAGTCTGCTTAGAAGCTGTTTTTGAGGCTGCAGATGACTTCACCACATCCACCTTTAGACTGACAGGTCGTTGGTAGTTGTTCATTAAATTGAGATCATCACCCAACAGCTTTGTTAGCAGTGTACATGCTTTACTTATTTCTTCGTTTCGATTATCAGCGTTGTAGTCGATAATACTGGCGAGTTGTATATTGGTGATTGGGTCTGTGGATGCATTGTTGCAAAATGCCCTAAGGATAAGGGCGTTTCGGTCGCCGCCCATTTCTTTACCAACGTGGCGTAAATAAGTGTAGTATCCATGCCAAGTTTGTTCTGGCTTCTTGGGTTTGTTGAGGTAGTCGCTGAGGCGTGCTTGTGATAACTTGCACCGGAACTCTGCTCTCAAGGCTTCTTGAACTTCCGAGTACGTCGGTAGGCGGCCATGTGCGTCGAGAAACTCATCGAGAAATTGGAAGTAAAAGTCTGATGCGGCACCTTCAAGAAATGTAACGAGATATGTTTCACGTAATTTGTCGGTGTGAGTTGATGTGTGACGTCTGCTTTCGCTTTGAATTGCTTGTTTAAAAGTTTGCATGAATAGGTCAAAGCCAGCACCGAGAACAGGGTATTTATCCTTGCCGGTAAACACCTCACACTTGACTTCCTTGATACGAGGCACTGTGTGGGATGGTAGCACTCGCGGCGTTGGTAGAATCTGTGACCGACTTTGGCATGGTGATGGAGCCGGTACTGATGTCGGTGAAAGCGGGGCCGGTATAGGCATGGTTGTTCTGGGGGCGCTTGGCCGGAGATAATTCAACAATGGTACTTGAAAGCTGGCGTTAGCTGGATGGGAACTTGTGTCGTCAATATGGGTGTTCAAACTAGTGGGTAATTGTTTGTTGCGGTCTACGTGTGGTGTGTGGCGTGACGTTGGTAGAGATGACTCTCGTGACAGCATGTCGTGACTGAAACGTAGCGACTGTAGTTGTTCCTCGCGAGAAGTTCGAATTGAGGCGTCGGTAGCCAGCCGATCTTCGGCTGCAATGACACGGGCGATTTCGCGTAATAAGATTGTCTCTGCGTCGTTTTGTATCTTTTGTGACTCGGATATGCGACGCAGCGCCACGTCTTGGGCTACACGATGGTGATCAATCGATGATCGTAGCTGATCTCGAGCTTTTCATTCGGCTTGAATCTCTGGGGCCAACGAGTCTTGAGCAGCTTGACTAACACATTGTTATTCTTTCAAGGCCACACTTGTCTCGATATACTCGGCCTAAATGCGGTCATTGCACTGTGTGAGGTGCTCCAACGAGTCTTGAGTATCTTGACTAACACATTGTTGTTCTTACAAGGCCACAACTGTGTCGATATGCTCGGCCTGAAGGCGGTCATTGCGCTGTGTGAGCCGATCAATGTCATATTGCGGACGTTCTATAGCTACTTGGTGCTCTGCGCGGCAATTGTTAATCGCCATCTTACTCTGTTTTTCGACTTGCTCAACTTGCTCTTGAAGTGCTCGTGCACGTTCAGATAATATTGCGTTCGTCGCAGTCACTCTAGAGGTTATTCTGTTGATCTCTGTTATAAAGTGTATACGCTGGTTGACAAGGTCTTCCATCAGCTTGGAACGTTGTTCGACGTATCCAGTACAACGGCGCCATCACAGACGAGTCCGGTATTGATCATGAGTCGCG